GTTAGCAGGGTTACGGCCACATTGGATCACGTTGCAACGGGATGCCAGGTTTGGAAAAAGGTACAAGGGCACCTAGGACATCCCAGTGTCTGAAAGGGACGGCTCACCAAAGGAGGGGATAGAGGGAATCACCAGAAAGAGCGAAATGAAGAAAACGAACGTTGTCCTCTGTATTCCTCAACGGTGAACCCAGGACATTTACAGATTATACAGGAGCCAGAGAGGAAGGGAGATGGAAGGGAGGGAGACCGACAAGCTCTGAATGAGGCAAGAAATGCTGACGGTGGCAGGAAGGTCGATCGAGCCTGACAGTGATAGAAGATGCAAGGTGACAAAGAATTGGAACGATAATTATCACCCTTTCGTTTGCTGCAGCTGTGGGGTTTCAAGTTTGTAGCCGGAGGGTTCAGAATTGAGGAGGCGCCGCGACTTTACTCTGCTCCGTGCATGCTCCAAGAATCTCCCAGTGTGCAGATCGTCCTCATGTGTCTTGTGGAGAGGCGATCACCGAGAATAACAATCAGAACGTTGGGGGACCCTAGATTGATTGGCGTAGGCAAGGGGTGGTTTGGGATGTCTGAGGGGGGGGGGGGAAGATTTTGGAGGAACTAAGAGAGGATAATGGAATGCGCTCGCGCAAGTAGGATGAGAATCTGGGATTCAGTAAATCGATGAAAGGGAATGTGGACAAGAGACAAGGCACGGCATTAATGTAGTCCAGCTGTCACACAGGCGCCAGCATGACAGCCTAAGGGTATTTTTTTTTGTGTGGCTGTTCTGGGGGGTGGGTTGGTTACTTGAGGCGGTGATGGAAGAGGAAAAAAAAAGGAAAAGGTCAAAAAAAAACGAGGAAACGGTTGAAATAAAAGGAAGACAATTCAAAAGAGTCACACGAAAAAAGAAGGAAAAGAAAAGAAAAAAAAGAACAGTACCGAGTCAATTGGATAGATAACAAGAAGAACCTGAATGATTTCTCAGGCAGATCAGCCGCTGTATTGCCGCGTAATACCATAACCATGTGAGTAGGTCCGGCCCAGGAGATAGTGGTACTTAGGTTTAGGTTATAGTTTAACGGTAAGCCCATGTATCTTTTCAGCCAGTCGTTTATGGCGCACGTATCTGACCGTCACCGCGATCTACCTCCCGGCGCTTCTTTTTTAGCCTGGCCCCATCTCTTTGTCTTGTTTTTACATCCGTGACTGAGAGTATGTACAGATCTACTTTGGTTATACATCTTTTTACTATTTATTCCATAATGTCTATTGTGATTCGATTCTTTTCTCTACACGTGGCCCGTCTCTCTACTATCCTATTAGGCAACTAGTCATCTAATCTCCCATGGTCCAGCTTGATACATCAACAAATGGTCCCCGAAACAGAGTCGAAGGGGTCATATCATAGGGATGAACGAGCAAACCTGAGGTCACTATTGGAAAAATGTAACATTTCGGTCAAAAGTTCCTATCCACTCCACTCAAGAACTGCCTGGCATCGGTGTTGACCATGGAACCCCTATCGAGACAGAAACACACTCCCGCATAAAGCCGGTACCCAACATAAACATCGGGGAGAAAGTTTGTCTCCCAAAAGAATTAGGGAGAAAGGAAGTCAGCGTCAACGCCGATACTCCACCTCATACGAAATGAAGCTTTACTGCAATTCTCGGCAACAGCTTATCTTCAAGATTGAAGGTTTTGGGAGGTCCGATCGGGCCCACTAAGCCCCTCCCACTTTACTCTTAACCACAAGTAAGGTACACTCTATATGTACCCATATCCTATCTTGGGAAACTATCTTCCAAGGCTAGATCTCAAATTCAATGCTCTCCAAACATCTTAAAAACATCTCATTTAACGTCTGGTTGGATCCGGAAACATTCTTCACAGAAAAGAGCCAAGGGCCGCCACCTTTCTAACTGTGGATTGCCTGCGGATTACCTGCCATTCCAGGATTGGCAGGGCGTCTCTTGTGGGCTTACTTTCTCTGCCTGGTCAAGAACTCAATAGGTTGACGGGGATTTGTTTCGCTCTTGTGTACTGCCTGTGTTCTCGTATTTTTTTTTTATTTTTTTTTCTGTTTTTCTTCCGGTCTTTTCTTCCGGTCTTTTCTTTTCTGTTTTTCTTTTTTGTTCATGTGCTGTCTGTTTTTCACCCATGTGGTCGTGTACGGGTATTGGTATTGCCCTCCAATCCCTTGAGTCTAGCTCTCAATAGATCGTTGATCAAGTCAAATCCCAACTGTGAGTTGTGCATAGTCTCGCGCGCAGCCATCGATAGAACTACGCTTCGGGCCATGAGGGGTCCCAGATTCCGACAAATGATCCGCAGAACAAAACGGTCTTGACTGGGTAGACTTCTGTAGACTTGGCCAAGCCCCTTACTTCGGCGCATCGTCACACTGACCCTTGGATGGAGATGTGGGTAAAAGTGTGGGATGCAGCTTGTTAAATGACGAGACCAAAGTAACTGTCCGGGTTAGAAGCCCATAGAAACCTTGACAAGAAAAAAAATAAAGAACGGGTGTCATTCAGCAGGTGTTGAACAGTTGCCGTCAATGTTGCGGTGTCCAGTCATCGCGGTGTAATCCCTCCCAGTGAGATTGGAAAAAGGCCGAGACATTGACTGGCAAAGGGAGAGAGAGTCTGGGAGTCTGACAAGGATACTCGCCTTTGGATCCTTGCACAGGGGTTGCACAGCTCAAGTGTCAGGCCATCACTCGCAGAAACTTTCCCCAGATTTGATTCCTGAGGGACATTGCCTGCCTTGCGTTCAACTCCCGTAGGCCTAGGCACACTCAATGATCCCGAGCGCGACGGCCGGCTTACAGAGGCTATTAGGCGTTGGCCGTGTGACCTGTTTCCGGGTACTGGGTTGTTGATGATCGTCCTTTCTCCGAGTTTGTGAGGGATCAAATTGTGTGTTGGCGGCCCCTGACCGCATTGGAAAAGGTGCAGAGTCTGTCCACTACGATGTACGCCAAAATCGCGTAGGAAACTTCAGTCGGTGCAATGGACAAACTTTGATAGCGGCGTGGTGTTCGTTGTTTTCTTGATCTCGACTGTTGGGTCTTGACAGTGTCAATGGATGCGTCGGGTGAGCTTGATTGTAAAGCGTCAAATCAACACTAGAACATCCACATTGGCCCTGTGCCATTTAGAATTGATCAACTTCCGTCGGCTGGAGGAAGTGACTTCCAAGGTGAGCTTTAATGATATCCCCGAGGCCCGGATAAATGCTTCGATTCGTGCCTCTCGTGTCAGCACACTTGTGTACTTAAAGTCAATGCCACTAATCTAAGAGAAATTTTGCAACTCAGGATGCAAGATGTGCTACCAACAGACAGAAGCTATCAGCTGTCGCCCTAAGATTATACCCCGAGCCCAATTTATGTGAAGGAGTGGCTCTCTTGGCACTATCCTGCCGGCAATTAAGTAGAGAACTGAAAGAACTGAAATACCATATATACCAAGCACTCGTGTAAAGCCAAAGACATTATATGTGGCACTGTGACCGCGTATCTCCAATGTAGCAACAAAATCCGTGTAAGAAGGATGCATGCATTTCAAGCGATTGATATATCCATGGTGTGGCAAACGGTGACTAAAATTATCTTACACTTCAGATATCTGAAAACTTCTTCTGTTTTTTCCTTGCCAGCACGTAAATGGAGTTGGAGAGTTTCTTTAAACATAGCCTGTTCATTTGTGACATATATTTTTACTGTGCGATTGCTTTTTTGGACATGTCTACATCCGCAGCCATGCAAGCCCGACACGGTACTTCATTCTAAACCAATTCAATGGAAATTTGAAGTTGAGATTGATGATGGTGTTCATTTTAGATCCGAACAAATTAAAAGGCACAATAAATGGCGAAGTCATGGTTGATTTTTTAGTTTTTTTTCCATGTAGCTCAGTATATTCCAACTACTAAATCAACATCGCTTATATGATACCCGAAACTAACTGTCTCAAATTCCAACCTCTATTCCTTTTTTAATTTTACTTCTTTCCCAACGAAATATGGTTTCTTTTTACTCAGACTAACTGCGTTGGTTGACGTGTACTGGGGCTTTGTTTATATGTCTCGAAGATCAGGTGCATGAAATCTAATTTCCCTCCACAGATATGTGAAACACTCATTTCCTGACAACATAGTTCCGCACAAGCATCGGCCTCAAGAGAGCACAACTCGAGCCACTATGCAGACAACTAGCTTCGTTTTATTTTACCGTAAATTAAAAATTGAGTGATTCACGTTTGTGGTACTAGATTAAGCGCTCGCCATGATCTCTTAAATTTTTTTTTACAAAACATCACATTGACGATGCCGATGTAAATCTAAACTATAAAGGATGTGCATACTCCGGATTTCAGTAGATTGCAAGTTTATGAGCGTGGGCCTCAGGGGAACCAAAATAAACAGGAATAGTTCGGTGGAGCTGACTGGCGAATAAGAGGGTGCAAATTGTCCCCGAAGGATCCGTTCTCCAGGCACTAACAGACTGTGATTGGCTGTTCCCTGTGGCCAAGAGGCCCCGGCCAACCTTGGAACAACGAACAACGCTAAGCTCTGAATAGCTTAGCTCCACACCAACAATAGCAAAGAGTTCTAGGCTTACAACCCATTTCCTCTTCTTCCCCTTCCTCCCTTTTCCATTTTCCCTTCATTCTCATCCATCCCATTCTCATTCATCCCCTCCATTCTTTTCCTTCGCAGGTGCCAGCTTCACTCTTTCAGCGGTTTACCTTGCTGTCCATTCTTTTGTTTCAAACTCACCCACTCTCGTTTTCAATTGTTCGCCTTTTTTCGACACGATCCCGTGACCGATAATTTGCACGCACATTCCATTACACTTCACTGTTCACTTCCCCGGATTGATTCTGTGACCTTCCTGGGAATCTGAACTCGACGATCACAAGCATATCTGTCGATTTCCAATTACACACCTCTCAAACTCGGTATCGAAAAGCCAACCGTCGACTACCGACAATCAACAAGATGAACAACCTATTCCCCCGCCTCTTTGCTCGTGACGACAGCAACAGCGATGACAGCGACAGTGGACTTTCAGATGCTATGCTCGACCTACTCATCGCCCTCCTGGTTCTTGTTCTGCTCTCCCTCGTTCTGATCGGTGGTCTGCTCATCCTCCGCCGCAAGCGTCAGTTTAGGAACAAGAACTTGCTCCCAGTCTACAATGGGGAGTCTCCAAACAGACGCCACTTAACCATTTCCACCAACAAAAACAACTCTGTGCTTGTCTATGACGAGAAACGCCGCCTCATGGAGAACTCCTACAGTCCTCCACCCAGCCCTGTGCCTGAGATCCGTATCACCTTCCCAGAAGAGGAGGATGCTAGCGGCAAACGCACCTCCCGCATGGTCGTTGTCCGAATCAGTGACGCGGGCAGCATTGGCTTGGAGCCCTGCCATGAGGAGCTTCCGCCCTACCAGAGTACTGACACCGGTCGCTTCCAGTCCCTGGACATCGAGCGGATGGGTGGATTGAAGGAGAAAGCCGAGACGAAGACATATCATTAAAGGCGTGTGATCAAACTATCTCGCCCAATTGTCTGGCCGCGTATCCGGCCCGCATAGCGCTCAATTTCTCTTCAATCTTCGACGACTTCTCAAAACATGACGAGTACCCTGGCAAATCTTTTTTTTACAAATCTAACTCTTACATACCCTTCCTTCCCTCATTTGGCCTACATGGCTTGCACATATGCCGTTCAGTTTCCGTTTTGGTCTAGAGCATATCGTCGGAACACCCGGTTTCTGTACAGATCCATGGGTACTCCACACCGCTTGTATTCCAATCATCATCGAAGCTGAATCGTTAAAGCGAGGGCCTGCCGGTTTTTTTTTTCTCTTTGCTTTCTGGCGATTTATTTCTTAGGCCTGGTTCCTCATGTCTCTTTCGTCCCTGTTACGTTCCTAGGGTCCGATATACATGTGACAGTATCCCTGCTTTCGATTTCTCTTCTTCTCTCCACTTTTATGGGGTCCTATCTTTAAGTTTTTAGGGGCCCCTCTATTTTACTTCCTTTCTCATGTGCCTTTGTTACCCGGTAATCGGCAGCTGGATATTGTATGTACTTAGTCCTCCTATTTTACGCTGTGTAGGCAAATCTGAAATCGATGCTTCTCTCAGATGTCTGTCTGCGTTTAGTGAGTGTACCTCTGCTTTTAGTGCTTCTTAGGTCTTGCTGTTTTTTGCCCATTCAGTGCAACTGACCATGTCCCCGAGCGCTTTTACTCGCTCGCTGTGTTTGAGTTGAACATGCGTTGAAGATAAGACGAGGTGACCGAAAGGGGAAAACCGAGCCTCATGTGGGCAATTTGGGCTTGATTACCAACTTTTCAACATGATCTCGGACAAGACCAATCGGCCGTATTTACGGCCTCTGCCCTTGCCGACCTAATGGTTAAAGAATAGATGACCTCGTCTCCCTTCTCCAACTATCTGGCGGCCTAGCACGTAGGTTCGCCTTCGCTAAGTAGTCCACATTTCCAAAAGTGGGGCCTATTGCGGAGAACAGTTAATCCGGGCCAAAATACACGGCGGAGAACTAGTTTTCCGGGGGAAGCTTTGGCTCCAGTCATCGTTTCAAAGGTTGTGACCACTTCAGTTTTCATGTTCAGGTCTTGTCAAAATTGCCCTGGGATAATATGACCGAGCATTCGTACCATGCGCAAGCATTCCAAAATCTCTCTCGGCGTCAGGCTCTCAACGTCTGTCTTGGTCCACTTCTTCCACGTTTTGCCAGCTGACAAGAGTTAGGCTTGTGATGTCTGTCGAAAGAGAAAAACAAAATGCAGCGAGGATAGACCAGCATGTAGTCGCTGCATACGGCTGAGACTGGACTGCAGTTATACTGAAACCGTTGCGGCAAAGTACATTATACCTTTGAAACCCGTTTTGGGGGATCTGTGGCTGACAAAAACAAGGAAGAACCTTTCAGTCATGGAGTTGGAAGCAACACTAAAGCGTATGGATGAGAAACTCGACAACTTGTCGTCAATCTTTCAAAAGAACGACCGATCATTTAGACAGTTTAGTGGTCAAGCCATCCATGACACTCAGGGGATAACGTCAAGCCCAAGTAACAGTCACCCGGTTGCTTTCAGCCCAACATTCGTCAGTGAAACAGAAAACCCATACGCAATTGCAACCCCGTATCTTGATACAGGTCGGATCATGGGAGAACTTTCCCTCTCTGAACGCCATTCAACGGCGCCGCAGCATCTCTTGTCCTGGCCTTGCTCTTCTCTGCAGATGAGCGAGCTCGAGTTGCAATATCCGGTGAATCTTGAGATTAATCGGTCAAAGCATTCAAGGTCGACAACACCTCTCCTGTTCCTTCAGTCGTCTTTGATGGGGGACACTTGGCCATCTCGCCTGTCACTATCTCAAATGAGTCTTCTCACGCAGTCTTACTTCCAACACTTCCACCCGTCTTGCCTGGTCCTAGATGAAGCCGTATTTTACCGTAACACTCTACGACAGGCAATGAAAACAAACTTTGCCAAGGACTTTGATACCTGTACTGTACTGTTGGTCTGCGCTCTTGGTTCTATTACCGCGTACCATTCCGGACAAACGGAGTGGTCTTCGGGCTTTGAGCAAGACGTCGGTATCGAGTTTTTCAATTTGGCAAATCAAATGTTTCGTGACCTGGAAGGTGCAAACTGGCACAGCGTTCAGTGTCTACTTCTAATGGGGTAAGCAGAATTCTCCCCGATATGACCATGACCCATCACGTTCTCTAACATGATCGCATTAGCATGTTCTATTCCGCAACGGTAAGAGTATATGATGCATGGCAAGTGATACACCGGGCTTGCTCCACCATCTCAATTTTGGTACCCTTGTAAGACAAACTCAGTCTTCCGATACACATCTCCTTGGCTGACCAAACATAGACAGGGGGCCTTACAGGCTCAAGAGTGCCAACTATTCTGGATTGCATATTTACATGAAAGGTACTCCAAGAATACTTCTTCAGCCGGAATCAATGTTGCTGACACCACCGTCAGCCAAATACTTGCCGAATTCGACTTTCCGGCCAGCGGGCTCGGGAAGCTTGCAAGCAGGATACCACTGCCGCTGGTTCCTGGAATTGGAGCTGATCCTTCTTACGCACAATATCAATTCTTCTTTCTAGCACTGATCTCAATGAGGAAGCTTTTGAACCGCATCATCTTTCACCTCTACAGTAGAGGTACGTCTCCCTATCAATGCCCTTTACGCAGTTACTTATGCGGCCATCAGATTACAGCGATGATAACCAAAGAGACGTCTTGCAATCAGCTGATAGTCCTAGAAGGCCCTTGTCAGCACCTCAATATATCATTGACGAACTAGATCGTCAACTAGAAGAATGGCGAACGTGTTTACCACATGGTTTGGAATTCTCAGGTTATTCTGAGACACAGGTAGAAATCCCGGAGCTGTATAAATGTCGGACAACTGACCAAAGGTTACGTGGCCATCTAATGGCTCGGTATTACTCCGCCAAATCGAGCATCCACCGCCCTTTCATTTACAGGACTCTTCACTGCGACAAAGTTGCCTTTCTTTCCGAGACAGACAAGAGCGGTTCCAAAACTGGCGTTGAGTGTGGATTCATGTCTGTCATTCACAGCGGAATCCTGAATGAGCCTCTGCCACTATTACTGCACCCAATTAATTCATGCAGAAGGTATGAACCCCCGTAGTTGACATGTAAAACAACTCACCTGATTCATCTCTAGTCTCTTCGCCGTGGAATTGCAAGTAGCTTTTTTGCTTCACATCGACACTTTGCACTTTGCACTGCCGAAAGAATGGAGGCTGTTAGAGGAGGCAAGGAACCAGGTCGCGACATCAATCGCTCAGACATCCCCTACTGTTGCGCGAGATGGCGAGATATTACGACTTTTAAACTAAAGCGGAAATTATCATGTCACGTTCTCTAGACCCCCCCAAAAAATGAATAGGAAAATTCTTATACACACATGTATAGTACTATTCTAGTTCGCCCATTGATACTCGCTTCCAGAACGGAACGTTGCCACAACACCGTCATCTCTCGAATGCTTGGCAGCCGCAACACAGAATTCTGCATTTCCCTCCATCACCCACTTGTTCACGCTGTCATCCCAGTATGACACGCTGATCTTGTCCAGAACTGCGCGAGCCGTGACAGTCTCACCAGGTTGCACAAGGACCTTGTCCCATCCCTTCAGCTCTTTAGGAGGTCGGCTTAACCTGGGGTTGACCTGACTGACATAAAACTGCACAACTTCTTTTCCTTCCCGTAGTCCAGTATTAGTAACGTCCACCTGGACTTCGATCTGTCCGTCTCCGGATATCTTGTCAGAGTTGAGGCGAATATTGCCATACTCAAAGGTCGTATACGACAGACCCAGGCCGAAGGGGAACAGAGGCTCGATCTTGCGGTGATCATAGAATCGATAGCCTGCGTAAATCCCTTCTCCATAGTGAACCACATCGTTGTCTCCAGGATAGTTATCAAACGAAGGCGAGTCTTCTATTCTTGTGGGGAAAGTGATGGGCAGTTTGCCGCTTGGGTTCACGGCTCCCAGAATTACATCCGCGAGACAATTTCCCTGTTCCTGTCCTTGGTACCATGCCTGCACAATGACGGGAACTTGCTCTATCCAGGGCATGGTAATTGGACTGCCAGTTTGATTGACAACAATGGTGTTGGGGTTCACTTTGGCGACGGCGGCAATGAAATCGTTCGATCGTCCGGGCAAGTCCATCGAGACCATATCGCTTGTTTCAGTCTCCCAATCCTGGTCCTTGCCAACCACGATAATCGCAATGTCGCTGTCGCGAGCTATTTCAACACCCTCCTGGAAAAATGCATCCAGGTTGCCGGGGTTCTCAAGGAACCCAATTCGCCCGCCATCTTGCACCTCTTCGCGCTCCAGCTCGGCGGACATGTAGTCCAGCTCGGATGGCTTGTGCTCGCGACTGATGGACTCCAGCAAGAGCTCGTACTCTTGACCTGCCTTCATGTGCACTCGGACGAGCTCTTCAGGGGATCCGTAGCTCATGAAGAGTGCAGACTTGGGAGACCACCAATGTCGCTCAATATCAACGAGGACTTTCCCGTCTAGGAAGAGTTTGCCTGGACCGCAAGAGGAAAGAGAAAAGACATGCTCGCCTGTTGTTTTCGGAATGATGGTTGTTCGAGCTCGGTAGGAATACCTCTCCCCAGTGGTCAACTCAGGGGGGAGTCCATCGTAGCAAACCAAGTTTGAACTTGGACGATTCTCAATTTGGAAAGGCTCGCCTTCGTGTGTCAAGTTCCTCCAGAGATACAATGCAACGCCACTTTTGCCAGTTTCTGGATTTTTCATGACGTCTGGATCGACAAGAGGAAGATAGCGATGTGTCATGATACCCGCATGCGTTTGGATCTTGGCAGTAGGGAACTTAGACGTGATTTCCGTCTTCAGAGAATCATATGGAGTTGTTCTATAATGAGGAGCAAGGTTTGAACTACCACCACCAGTGGCGATGGATCGATTAGCGTTGGGACCAAGCACTGCAATTTTCTTCCCATTCAATTCAGAAAGAGGGAGGATGTTGGCCGAGTTCTTGAGTAAAACGATTCCTGCGAAGATGTCAACCGGGTTAAACTTCTTCGATTCTGCCTTGGCGAGAAGAACGTACCATCGCCACCCGCCCGACGAAGAATCGCGCGGTGCTCAGGGAGGTCAACAGCCTTTTCTGGCCCTTCTTGCCAGTCAGGAATATCGCTTTTACCCGTCTTGTGTACCAGCTCCAACACCCGTAAGGCTGAGGTGTCGATGAACGACAAGTCCACGAGACCTTGCCGATGAGCGTTTATCAGGTGCTGACCTCTCCTCCTAATAGGACCTGGCATTTCGAGATCCATGCTATGTGTTATCAGTTGGATGTCCCATGTGCAGTACGTGTCGAGAACAACTCACCCAGCTTTGAGCGAAGGAACAACACTGTTTGTGCCGAACCAATCACTCATCACAAGACCATCCCATTTCCACTCATCTCGGAGGACCTTTTGCAATAGGAACTCATGGGCCGAGCAAAATGTTCCGTTCACTTTGTTATACGCCGTCATCAAGGTCCATGGGTCACTGTCCCGAATGGCAATCTGGAAAGGCTGGAGGGCGATTTCGCGAAGGGCTCGATCAGGGATCTTTTCATCAATGAAGAAGCGTCTTGTCTCTTGATCGTTGGCAACAAAGTGCTTAATGCATGCTCCGATGCCTGCGCCTTGAATCGAATTGATGAACTCTCCGGCGAGCTTGCCCGTTAGAAAGGGGTCTTCGCTATAGGCTTCGAAATTGCGACCACCGAGAGGAGTTCTGGGAATGCAAACTGAAAGCTGGATTAGATGAAGTGTCGTATCTCAAAGATAGGGCATTTTGATTTACCTGTAGGACCGAGAAGGACATCAGCTTCTTTACTCTTGGCTTCCGCGATCAACACCTGACAAACATCTCTCATGACGGTTTTATCCCAAGTAGCAGCCAAGGATACACTGCGATATGTCAGTAATCACACTTCGGAGTGGTCCCAGTTGACAGAAAGGTCACTCATCACTTACCCCGTTGGTAGTGAGGCTGCGCTCACTCCATCTGTGAAAATCCCGCCACGAACACCCACAGGTCCATCCGACGTCTTGATCCTGGAAACACCTAAACGAGGAATCGGGTTCGTTCTCCAGAGATCTTGTCCACAGAGTAACAGAACCTTTTCTTCCAAAGTCATCTGCGACAACTTGTCCTGTGCCCATTCTTTCGCACACATGGTGTCATCTTTGCCCGACATGTTGCAGGTTGAATCAGACTTCAGAAAAGTACCCATTTACGGAGTAATGTCGGTCTTTATAAAACCGGTCTTTATGAAAAAAACCCCCCTTCTGCCCAGATCATAAGTTGGCACGTTCTTCCCCCTCCCCCCCCCTCCCCCCCGCACCGGGGGAAAACGGACTTGACGCCGCTCGAAGTGAGACCTCCGTGATCCAACTCTCCCCGCATTGACATTGAATTGACTACAACTACTCCGTAGTTGAGTAGTCTATTAACAACTGCCGATGGAGAGGTGGTTGACTTTTACTAAAACGTGAGCGAATTCAACAAACCAGTCTGTTCCAAGAGTTCCAAGAGTTTCGTTATACATCTGGGATCCTAATGCCTATCTCTACAACGAAAATTGCGGTCCACAACTCCCTCTCTCGAGATGATGAAAGAGAACCTATTCTTAACAACACCAGATGTATCTCCGTATTTCTCAAACTAGACGTCCTTGACCCTACATTTTCAGTATCCGAGTTCCTTCGATCAAGTCAAATCGACGCTTCCTCAACCGAAGATCATGCGTCAATCGTCAAAAGCAAGTTCCAATTGCCATTCAACTGATCGCGGTCCTTTCTGGAGCATTTATGGCGTCGACGCTCGCTGCGTACTCAGCTGGTGCATATGCACTAGCCTCGGGCCCATTGAGACGCCAATGGCAGATCAGCGACACACAGTTTAATGCTGGTATCACTATCTTCACGGCCGGCTTCGGCTGTGCGCCTATGATTCTTGCCCCGATCTCTGAGATCCATGGTCGTTATTGGGTTTTTATCGGATCGGGGGTTGTATTCTTTCCCGGTACTCTGGGATGCGCCATCACGGAAAGTTACGCTGGTATCATGGTATCGAGATTCGTCACCGGGAGCGGTGCGGCTGTTTTTGCGACGCTTACGGGAGGCGTTGTCAGTGATTTATATCACAAAAAGGATCGCAATACACCAATGGCTTTGTATTCCCTCTCGATCATGGTCGGCACAGGTCTGGGACCACTGATCAGTGGAATCGTGGTTGATCGTCTAAGCGTGAAATGGATATTTTTTCTCCAGCTCATCACGATAGGAAGTACCACTGCGATGCTATCTCTCCTGTTTGACGAAACATCAGCACCGTGTCATTTGAGGAGAAAGTGCCACGCTTTGAACAAAATGCGGTTCCAGACTGCGTCTGGGGAAACAGTCATCTTCTCCTCATTGCTGGGAGAGACTCTGAAACTGGACATCAGCATCATCTGGGCGCAGCTTTGCTTTCCCTCTCAAGCTACTTGTGACTGAGTCTGTTGTGTTCTGGTTCTCAGTGTGGGTATCATTCGCATGGGCGATTCTATACATGCAGTTCAGCAGCATTAGCATTGTTTTCAGCATCGTGTATGGCTTCAATCGCACTCAGATCGGTGCCGTCTACACAGCCGTGATTGTTGGATCGATACTCAGCATTGTCCTTGCCATTTCCGAAGAAGCAATAGTTCGGAGATTCCTCTTGAACCGTTCCACATCGAGTACGCCAGAGCAGCGTCTCCTCTCTCCTTGCATTCAGTCTATTCTCTTGCCTATTGGTTTGTTCTGGTTTATGCTGAGTGCAAGGCACAAGGTTCCCTGGATCTCGCCTGCAATGGCAGTTGAATCCTGCACGATGGGCATTTTCAAGATTAGATCACGTAGTCCGCTTGCAAAAGAGATACAGTAGTCATAGTCTAGCTACATTGAGACCGCCGGAAACTTTCCTCACGATTCTTTGCTTTGCTCTACCTCGTCCTTTCAATGCATCATTCCAAAGTAATACTCACCTCCAAACAAGACGAAAATCTGCTCTAGCTATCTGCCTTTCATAATTTTACTACATGTACTCCGTACAACGACATTCTTTCCAACGTTACCCACTCCATAGGTATCCTTGGGACAGTATGTAATTCGAGGTTAAGTATGATAACTTGTACTATATTCTCTAATTTGACCTCTCTGCTTTTTTTTTCCAAAAAAAATTGACCAAAAAATTAGATAAAAAATCAGTGTGCACATGACTCCTGAGCCACGAACTCTACCAGGTGACCTGGATGACCCATGAAAAGGCCTGCGGAGTCAGTCCGTCTCTCCCCTCGACCCTCCAAGGTTCCCCCTCCAGGGATCCTCCCAGAGCCGTTCAGGGTCACCTTTGCGGGACCCCAGTTTCGTGTAAAAATCTGGGGGCTTGTTGGAGTGAGCACTAGATCAACTGGGCGTACTTTTGGAGAAAGTAAATTCATCGTGATCACCATGACTGGAACCCTATTCTCATCTCTGAACTTGCACATCCGCGACACAGGGTCTTTTTCGGCTCTCTCTACAACACCAGCTTCTCCTGGTAATTTGCGTTGAGAGGAGTAGATAGCGTGAGCAATCCATGTTTCCGAAAAGTAGATTGTTCTTCTGGCACAGAGTTGCAGTTCACCATCCACAATGATGAGATTAAATGCAGTCTGTTCCTCAGAGGGATCAATACAATAGACTAATACGTACACACTTTTCCGTCCCGCACGTTACGTGGGGCAGAGACGTACTGGATGCACATACTTAGACCAACTGCCAGTCTCTGAGAGATCACACACCTAAAACTGACAAGCTTGTTGCTCACTCTTCCTCTTGAAATGCAGCTAGAGGTGCTATCCTACAGTTTGAACCGAGAGATCGACATCTGCAACGTCACGCCATGTATCAAATATAAATGGGAGATGCGGCATTTGACAAATGGCTGTTTTGCTACGGCCCCACCTAGGTCATTTCTTACGCTGAATCGAACGTCGCGATCGGGTATCTGATCGTGATATCTACCCAGAGAAAGACAACTAACCTAACTTGAGCGGCAAGGATTTAGGCCTCGTCCGGGTTGTGGTTGGGAAGGCTGGATTCACGAGCTCCAAAGGTGCTAAACATGCTTATGTAGCAACCTGCAGTTAAGATAGATTTGACGAAGATAAGAGGTCAGAATGGTCCAGAATGTTATTTCTAGAGAATTTCTAACAGAATTAGAGACTGAAGAGACTGAAGAGACTGAAATACCCGTTTAACTGCACCCAACAATTCCGGACAAGACGAGGTATTTGTGGGTTGGCGAGATTGAAGATACCAATTGGCATCTTTAAAAGTCCTTTTGAAGGCCGAGAGCTCAGAGATGAGCTCAGAGATGAGCACAAAGCAACGATATCTCTGATTCTACCGAAATACCGCGACTTTCCTTATCACATTATGGGACGTTCAATTCAACGAAACACGTATGTCAATTGAGGAAAACCGTAAGGATAGTGACCCTGGAGGAACTCCCGCAAATGTATCCGCAGCCGGCCAATGAGAAACGCCGAGTTCCCCAGCCCGTGGGTTCCGCGACTGTCACGAATTATTTTTCTCCTAAACAGATTTTTCCCTAATTGGGATTGGGATACAATACTTCTTCAAACCATGTCCATGCTATAGCTTCTTTATATATAGGGAAGCCATCAGACAGCGCATAGAAAGGGGTACAGACCTTCGCAATCTCCCCCGACCCCCCGCCTATACTTTCTAACCGACTTCGATGGATCTCGCTTGAACCGGTTAAATCGGCTCAAGTGTGAGTGCTCTCGGCTTCCCTACCCCTGAAATACACACCGTGTTCATCGTTCACGGTTCCTTCGGTGCCCCTCCGGCCTCCAGCAGCCAGATCTGCGACCTGGCGCGCCAGCTTGCCCCAATATCGACCTTCGACCATACATTAGACCTTGGAAATGGTAGTCACAGCACCTACAGGGACTACGGGGCCTAACCCCAATGGCCCTCACAACGATCTTCCAGCTGCCACAACTCGCAGCTCCGATGAATCGGCTAGCGGGCAGTCCAAGCGGAAGCAAGCAGCTCTATTGGATAAGAAGGCATTGGAGCTTGAGCATGAGTTCAAGTCTAAGCATTTTGGTGTGATGGGTGTTCTGGCGTGGATGTTGTGAGTGGTTCTTTTCTCAAGACAAGCAGAGCTTGAGGTTCAAGGCCCGTTCCGTTGCTGGATTGACGCGTTGAAATCCCCCCCCCCCCCCCCCCCCCAAAACCAATTTGAACTGACGTTGGATTTATAACAGACTCTTGCATGCCGCCGGAATTTATCTGTTCACAAAAGGGTTTCTTCTCACGCGTATGGTCCTTGAGAACAAGTCATCGTGCGACGTATTGCCGTTCGAGGACATCTTGGCCCAACCACACACAGTCCTGGGGAGCAAACAGCAAAACGGCTGCTGGCACGAGAAAACCTTTGACAAGGCCGTTGTTATTATAATCGACGCCCTCCGCTATGACTTCACGGTACCATTCGCTCCGAAGGGAGAGAGTGACGTGGTCCACCTCTTCCACAACAACATCCCTGTCCTCTACGAGACCGCGGTGCAAAACCCTGCCAATGCCTTCCTCCTGCCATTCATCGCGGATCCACCGACAACCACCCTGAACCGCCTGAAAGGCCTGACCACCGGAACCCTGCCCACCTTCCTGGAGGCAGGCTCCAACTTTGCTGGAACCGCCATCGATGAGGACAATCTTGTCGCACAGTTGCATAGCGCCGGGAAGAACCTGGTTCACCTCGGCGACGACACCTGGCAGGCGCTGTTCCCAGGCTACTTTGATACCAATCTCACGCATGCGTATGACTCGTTCAATGTTTGGGACTTGCACACCGTCGACAATGGCGTCAACGAGCATCTCTTCCCACTGCTCCGACCGGAGAACAGCAAGAAATGGGATGTCATCTTTGGCCACTATCTCGGCGTAGATCATGCAGGTCATAGATATGGTCCTAACCATGCTGCCATGGCATCCAAGCTTCAGGAAATGGACCGCGTCATCCGCGATATTATTGCTGCGCTCGATGATAAGACCCTTCTGGTCGTCATGGGAGATCATGGGATGGATATCAAGGGCGATCACGGTGGCGAGTCTGATGACGAAGTTGAGGCCGCATTGTGGATGTACTCTAAGCGTGGCATCTTCGGACGCACAAGCAAAGACACGCTCCTCCCGCCCCAATTCGCGCGCGACAGATCCGTGCCTCAGATCGACCTCGTTCCGACGCTGTCTTTGCTCCTTGGAATGCCCATCCCGTTCAATAATCTAGGCTCACCTATTGAAGAGGTTTTCTCCGGCCCACGTGGAAACAATTGGGCAAACCTGGCAGCTGTCAACCGTTTGACTGCAGCCCAGGTCAAGAGATATCAGCATGAATATGCGATTGCTAGAGGGACTGGTGATGACGAAGAGTCGGATTTGCTTTGGACTGCTGCAGAAGAGGAATGGAAGTCTGCTTCCAAGGGATTCTCATCCAAGTCGACCGCTGCTCGCGCTAGTAATGAACTCTACCGCAAGTACCAGCGTCACACTCTTGACATCTGCCGTGGATTGTGGGCGCGCTTCGATGTGCCAAGCATGATTCAAGGTGTTGTGATTCTCCTTGCTAGTATTGTCTTGTTGATTATCTATGCCCGAGGCTTGAAGACAGATCGAACCCAACTCACATCGCGTCTGCTTCAATTGGCAAGCGTGGGCGCTGGCGTTGGTGCCGTGGCCGGCTCAGGGTTCGGCTTGACTGGCCTGACAGAGATGTCTACAGTCGATGGAACCGTGCTGCTGGCTGCTGTTGGAAGCATCCTTGGCGCTACACCGGCTCTTGCCACGAAGCCTGCGAAGCTGACTCTGCCTCTTCCGAACGGCATTTGGGGATGGCTTGCGCTTTTCTTAACCGTTTCTCAGTCTATTGGATTTGCCTCAAACTCGTACACGATCTGGGAGGACGAAATTCTTCTGTTCTTCCTCACCACGTTCGGCGTGTGCGCAGGTGTCTCGTCCATGCGACAGAAGCAAGCTACGGACCGAATTTTGGGTGTGTACCATTCCATTCTGTTCGTGATCCTCGGTCGAATCGCGTCTTTTTCCCGCCTCTGCCGTGAAGAACAAATGCCCTTCTGCCGCTCCACGTATTATGCTTCATCGACTTCATCCACCTCTGCCCCTTGGCAGCTTGCCATTCCTTTTTTGGTCACACTCTGTCTGCCCAGCGTCGTACGGTCCTTCTACGCCGGCTCCAAATCCTACGAAGGCGCTGCATCCCTATGGATCGGCCTTGCCTTCCGCTTCGGTCTCTTCGTTACCTCCCTCTTCTGGATTCTCGAAGGTGCCGATGACGGCGAGTGGCTACCCGTAAGCAATGAAACTCTCAAGTTCGTCCGCGTCTTCCTAGCCCAGTTCGTCCTCGCCCTCGCGTTGGCAGCAGGTACTGCGGCATACTTCTACTCCAAGCCCTGCGTCAGTGTAAACGTGAGCAAGCCCACCGAAGACCCCAACAGTCCACCGACCCCTACCGTCGCCGGCCAACAACAAGGCCCACGAACAACGGTCACAATCCTCGGCTTCGGCAACGTCTACGGAACCCACTTCTGCTTCCTCCTCATCAACTTCGCCCTCGCCATCATCCTCATGCAAAAGCCAATGGGCCAAGGCGCCATCGCCCTCCTCCTCTGGCAAATCCTCTCTCTCCTCGAAATCCTCGACACAAACAACCTAACCATGTCAAACTCCCCCATCGGCCCCACCATCCTCGGTGTCCTCGGCTCGTTCTACTACTTCAAAACAGGCCACCAGGCCACTCTCTCCAGCATCCAGTGGGAAACGGCCTTCATCCCCCTCACAACAATCCAATACCCCTGGTCCCCACTACTCGTCATCCTCAATACCTTCGGCGCACAGATCCTCGCCGCCATCGCCGTCCCCCTCACCGTTCTCTGGAAACGTCCCCTTCAGACTCACGACCGTGTCCCAGCCTCCAACCCCAACAAGAACCCAGCTACACGCATCCTCTCCGATGTCGTACAAGCCGCTGGAACACATATCCTCTACTTTGCGACTATCAATCTCGCCACGACTATGTGGGCCGGCCATCTCCGTCGCCATCTCATGCTCTATCGCATCTTCAGCCCTCGCTTCATGATGGGATCGGTGGTCCTGGCTGTTGTTGATGTCGTCTTGATGGTTGTTGCTGTTGGCGGTGTGCGTTGGAGTACTCTCAGTGTTGGGGAGATCTTTGGTTGGTGATGGCGTCAGAATTTGCAGGCTTGGAGATGCGAAGTTTGGTCTTGTCTCCGGATCTCTCTTCCTCGCCTCCAATCTCCTTCTTTTTCCTACGGGTACAGGCTTGTATACACCAAAACCCTTGCATCTTTCCCTTTCTCTGCATTGCCTCGCTCTCACGTTTGTAAATGTGCTCTACATCACCTTTCCCTCCTTTTGCTTCCTCAAAATTCTTTTTTTTTTTTTTTTGGTTTCGCCTATCTATCTATGTTGATAGTTTGGATACTTAATAATAATCGTGACTACGGTCTATCAAACCAACCAATTATACATAATGCAATCTGGTATCCCATTTGATGATCTATATCTTCACGACGGGGGATGCCCCCCACCGGGCATGCTACACTGTGTACTGAGATATATGAATAGACACAGGGAGCTTTGGAAACTGGAAATCAAAATCATCACGGCCCCCAACGGACTATGGCTTGAAGGATGTAATAAAGCAGAGAAGAAAGTCAAGGTCCCCAAACACACAACCACACAACAAGTCCACACGACAAGAGCCGCAGGCACTCTATACATGAGCACACGAGCGGCAGGTTGTGACGGTCCACGTTCAGGAAAGGGGACGAATCCACCCCAAGCAGGGACTGGGTGTAGAGATTCGGGGAGATCTGCTTGTGGCTCAACAGGTACCATTGTGATTGAAACATTCAGGCAGACAGATCTGGAATGTCTCGGATAGACATGCGTGATTCCCTTCCCTTTGAGAGAACGATGATTTAAAAAAAAAAACAAAGGCAGAGATAGAGCCCCTTGATGAATTAAAACGAGGAAAAGATGGAGATGACGGAGAAAAAGAGAAGTGGAGAAGTGGAGGCGGGCGATCGAAAGAAAGCACGGAGTTACGGGATGTGACTTCAAACACCCGTGGACCTTCCTAATGAGGAATGGTGGGATTTTCTAGATCTACAATTGTTTAGAGACGATTCCAATCAAGGAACCTTGAAAGAAGCAAAGATCATAACGGTAAAAAAAGTCCAAATCATAGACCATCTTTCAACTGTCAAGGGCAGTAGATATATAGATACAATCCAATATCAGGTAACTAATCTACACGAAAAGGAACCCAGAGAGGGCGGCCAAGAGAGACAAGATACTCAAGCTGCCAGCGCTCAAGTTTGAAGCCGCGTTAAAGGCCGGAGAGGCGGAGGGGGAAGTGGAGCTAGAAGAAGCCGAGCCAGAGCCGGCGCCGGCGCCGGCGCTGGAGCTGGGGCCGACGGCAGCGCTAGACGGCGTGGCAGTGCTGGCAGCAGCGATGTGACTTCTATAGGATCATGGCGGTTAGCTATCGTACCAGGAGAGAAAAAGAAAAAGAAAAACAAAACAAAAAAAAAAAAAAACAAATCACAACGAGCAGGAAGTCTCAACTTACCCCGAAGTAGCAGCGGAAGAGGTCTTCAAAGTGGCGGAGGCAGTCGAGACAATCGAGGCAGTCGAAGCAATCGAGGCAGTCTCAGAAGTGGATGAAGTGGACAAAGTCGACGCCGACGAAGTCGAGTTAATAGGACCCGTGAGCTTGATGCTCTCGTAAGAGCCGGTCTGGTCAGCCCAGGTGTAAGAGTCCGCCGGGTTGTAGTTGACGATAGTAACGTCCTTGATGTACATGGTGAAGGGACCTTTGCTGTAATCAGTCTTGCCGCCGGCCCATTCAATGGTGCCGGGCGCATTGGATGAGTCACCGCCGGCCCAGATCCCGATGCGAACGTTCATGGGGGTCTGGGGGAATCTGGTGCCGGATTTCGCGTCGTTGTAGGAGAGAGTGCGGAGGTTTTTCCCATCAACGGACCAGATAATGGATTCTTTGGTCCAGACAACTTTGTAGGTGTGGAAGGCATCCTGTGGGACCGAGACAGGATGCCAGATTGCGCGGTCATAGGTCGAGGTATCTCCCTTTCCAAAGTAGTTGGATTCGACTTGGGTGGTGTCGCCTCCAACGGCTTCCTGATATGGAAATTAGGGTTCCATGTTCGTAGTAGAGGGAGTAGGAGATGGACTTACCCAGTCAACCTCGTCGAGATCATCTGACTCAAGCACGATACTGCTGACAATGCCAGTACCAGGGGCCGCTTTCATGGTAACCGACACTTCACCGAAGAAGATGTAGAAGTCGGTCTGGATGGTGGGAGCATCGAATTCTTTGCTGACGGTGAACTCGGCTCCGTTTGGACCTGTCTTGACGGTGCCGGCAGTGGTTGTCCACTGATTCAATCCCGAGCTCTGGGTGAAGTCGAAGCTGTGGTGAGACTCGGTGGTACTAGCATCGGCCGGGCAAGTTTCTATCCAAGTATCAGAGGGGGGGGGGGGTCCTTTTTGTTTTTCCATTGGTGAAGGGGAGACATACTTTTCATTGGGTTGCAGTTGGTGTACGTTTGGCCTGAGACCAGAGTCGCAGCGGCCAAGCCTGCAGCGGCATACTTCAAGTAGCGCAGCATTTTGGAAAGATCGAATTAAAATACGAATGCAGATATGTAAATCTCCAACAAAAAAAAGAATGAAAAAGAAGGTCAGGGACAGAATGTAGAGACAGACAGTCAGAAAAGACAGTATGATAGAGATAGATGCCCAGGGGGGAAGAAAGTGTTTTATAATATCTCACGGCCATCTACCCCGTACTCCTGTAATATTGGCTGGGAAAGTTCTGCCTAGTAATTCATCTAACTAAATTATCCGGACGGAGTCTTTTGAGACATGCTCTTTGGCGGTTATTTATAGACTCCTATTTCCGATGAAATGGGGGGGGGGGATTCTGTCCCTAGGGAATCGGAATTGACTAGAGTCACTTTTCGACCAAAGATCCGAGTCTTGGAGGCGTAACTCGCGTTCGTCTTCGCTCCATTGCGTGGAATTTCACCGTGTGGGTGTAGCCCATGTCATCTAACTTGGAACCACTTTAAAGTGGGACCATCGCAATTTCACCTTTTATATTAGCGCGTTTTGCTCGAGCAAAACACAAGTACGACCATTGTATTTTAATCTGCCAATGGGGAAATGACATAGATTCAATGTAGAGAATCTGAGACTGGAGAACTCAGAAGCTTCATGTCTCCCGTCGGGGACATACTCGCTCAAAGGGTGAAAATGGGCTCCAAACTAAAGAAATTGGATCAGTCCCCGGGAGAAAGTAGACCAGACAAATCTGGGCAAATTCATGGGACTCGTCAAACCCTTCGACTGAATCGCCTGTCAGAGTCCAAGGGAAGGGCTGGGTTTAAGATGTGATCAGTTCAGTGTCGATTCTAGTGTTGATGGTGGCATGACACACACGCTGGTAAGCAGGTCATGGGGAGATCTGGTCCTGTGAAGGCGAGTCCCATCGACAGGAGTGGTTCTTCGAAGATGTACTCCATACCGAAATCCCGTAACCAAGAACCCAAACCTCACCTCCTTGCTGTCGAGTGAAATAGCATGCGAAGTCGCATGTCTCACTGAGAACCCAGGAAGAGACGAGGATACCTTCCAACCAGGGTAAGAGATCAAAAGGGGCTTAATTTGTTCTTCGGTGATAGGTCACGAACGGACACAGGATCCTCAAAGTTTGCCGAGAGGTGACCCACCAGCCGTTCGGGTGCAAATGAAGCGTGCACGCTGAGAAAAGTATCTTTGCAGGGGACACAGTCAACTACGGAGTAGATTGGTTATAGACGAGCCACTGTCTTTCATATCATATCGCTAGGATAGAGACACGCTGTTTCCACAATTCAGACCAAGTGGTAGGAGGCGGTAGCGATGTGCTTCCCTATTATCTGATACAAAACAAAGAAGCATCATCTGAAGTCCAGTATAAGATACTGATTTATTTCACCAAATAAGACCTTAATCCTCATCGCGACAGTCGCTCACAGGCACAATATTGTAAAGAAAAAAAAACTTTTGGGGCGGGAAGGGGGTATTTACAAATGCAACAAGTGTCTTGCATCACGAAAAAAAAAAATCAACACAAGATTATGTACATGAAAGTCGTTTATAGGGGTCATTGGTCATTGAGAGGGGAAAAAAAAGAACTCGGCTATTTCTCGGCAGGAGAAGTGGTGTAAGATAAGGAGAGAATAAGATAGTAATGAAAGGAGAGGGTTTTTTGGTAGATACGGGCAGTAAAAAGAAGACGAGAGGCCATAGAAGTCGTCTCGTTCAAGATGGTCATCAGCAAGACTCTCGGAAAAAAAAAAGATCAGCGGGCCCAGCGGGAGAAATCCAAATTCTGGAGAATGTTCGTGTCGGCTGCTGCATTCCATTCTGCCGCGAAATCGGTCTGCACTTGAGGGACACGAGAGGGTAGTTCCTCGGAGAAGATGTTGGCTTTGGTGTTCCGCCGTAGACCTGGATAAGCCCCTTCGGTGGCCTCAGAGCCGTGGCTGTGGGCTGCAAGAGCCCGCTCGCGAACTTTCTTGATCTCCCGCAGGCGGGTGGCCCAGGATGAGGTGTGCTCGCCACCCTTGTTGTTCCAGACAAGCGAGAAGACGGATGCATTGAGGGCAAGAATGCGAACGAAGGCTGCCAGGTTCTTGCCGGAGATGACCTTTGGTGCCGCAGCAGGTGAGACTTCTGGGAATCCGGGCTTGCTCAGGACCTGCACGCTGTAGTGGAGCTTTTGCGGGTCTGTCTCACCATCAGCATTGCCACTTTCGTCGTAGGCAATCCGGGAGGACGGGGTGATGACAATATTAATAGAGTTGAACTCGGATGGAATGGTGTCAAAGTTGAAGGGCAAGTTGGACCGGTTGAACACGATGGTGACATGGTTATTGCCAAGATTTCGTTTCTTATTGACGCAGGCTGGGTCACGGTCAAAGTCCGTGGGCATCATCGTGGCAACATGATACACAATTTCAGTCACCCGATCCCGCCAAGCGTAAGTGTATTCTCCATCAGTATCGGCATACAATCCTTGTGGATTGAACTGGGGGTTCCGCAGCGATACCTTGGTTCCCAATCCTGACAGCAGATGTTCATAATCCACAGAGCCACCAGTGTTGGCTAATATATCAGCCTCCTTTGTCTGGCCATTGTCAATATAAACAATGCCGATCCGGTGACCGTCCACAATATCGGTGCGATCGAAGTTACTGATGGCACGTCGAGTGATGTCGTCTTCTGGGACCGGGATGGGTTGCATGACAGAAGGCGTAGGGAAGGCAGTGGTAGTCAGCTGAAGCATGATATGACTCGGAAGAATTGCCGTGCGCATGGAGTCGGAATGCAAATGAGCATCTGGAGTTGGAGGAGCTTGATGCGGCAAAACTGGGGCCGTCCGCTGTTGATAGACGGAGTAGGTGGTACCTGATGCCTGGCGCTTCGTTATCTGAGACAATCCAGACAATCCGGCGCTCTCGACAGTGACGATACTCATGCCGACAATCCAGGATTTCTTTGCAACCGGGCCATCCTCAGGCGAGGGAGGGAAGGTTTCGAAAGGGATGGTCTCTCCGAGATCCGAATAAGCAACTCGCTGCATCAAATCAATAAAAACTTGGCTTTGTTCTTCCACCACCTCTTTTCCATGTTCATCGTGATAGATGAGCCTGCTGGTAATCCAATTCACATGTTTGGATCGATCTTGGAGTTTCATAGACAAGAACCAGAAGACCATGACATGGTAGGTGAGATTCGAGATGTACTTCGACATTCCATCTTGCGAGGTCTCGACAGCCTCAGCTGCATGGGCGGCGATTTCCTTTGCCCCCGTAATCAGCTTAGACTGAGGGGATTGGGCCGACAAAGAGGCCCTAGCTGCCAACTCAGCGGCTTTGTACCGATGCTCTCGAGAGGTCTGCAAAAACCGAATGCAGATGCCGAACACAGTGCGGATCTCCTCCTCACGCAAGTTGACGTAAACATCGGGCAATCGGGCAAGCAGGGCTAGGAATTCTAAAATATGGACGGCAATGTTTGACATGGTGATCACCTTTGACATCCTATCAAGAATGCTATTCAAGGATTTCGTGACTGACATTGGGATTTCATGGCAACAGAGTGACAGTGCTTGAATGCACCCACGGGATGTGCCGCCCCATGATCCGATGATACCCTGCATGAAAGCTCGGACGAGATCATCCTCTTCACTCTTGGCAAAGTGTTCGTGATAGCTGACGAGCATGCAAAGCGCGTCGAAGATGCAGGCAGCAACATCGCTCTTTTTCAATCCGGTACTCTCAGGAGGCTCGTGGAAAGTTCCGTTCTTGACCTGATCGCACAGAATGCTGCGAAGGAGCGTGATCTGAGGGATGGCATCGCTAAAAAAGTCTTTGTTGCCAAGCTGAGGTCCGATATGAGTGAGGATATAGCTGTAAACGTCCCAGTCGGCTTCTCGCTGTAACAAGGTGATCACAACTTCGAGCCACATCTTGACCTTCAATAGCCCCGTGGTTCTTGTTTCTCTTGTTGGTGATTCAGCGGGGGTCGATTCCTCCAGGTGGGCGTAGGCAAACACCACAGGGCTAGATTCTCCAGGTGGCTGCTCTGGAAGCACCTGTGGTAGCGCATATGTCCACACTGGGGCCATCAATTTTGATCCACGGGCAGAGATTGAGCCGCGCCCTGGGGCCGACTTTGAAATAGGGGTTGAGGCAGAGTCTCTCGGTGGATTCTTTCCGGTTGGTGAGACTGGTGAATTCTCTTGCTGAGGAATCTCGCGGGCGGAGCTATCGCCGGGGGCTTGTAACATAGAGCCAGCGTCGAGATTGCGGCCCAGCACGTTCATCAAGAAGTCACTCTCCGATGTTGATATGACCGTGACTGAACCGGCCGAGTCACATCGCAGTCGGAATAGTAGCTTTAAGACCGTCAAACGAGAATCTATTGGTCGGCTTGGAGATTGAGCAATGTCTAGAAGTGCCTCGAAAATCATCACAGCTTTGGCCGAGGAGAAGTTCAAGGCACGCAGCATCATCTTTACGAGACTCACAGCACAGACGTTTGACAAGCTTAACTCCAAGACGCTCGTGGTGGACGTACGACGTTGAGACCCATGGCTTGGAGGATGCTCGCGCGGTTCGTCTCGATTGAGCTCCGTCTGCATCGGCGCTCCGATGGTGCTTATCAGCAAATTGAACGTATCATCATCACTATGTTGTATGGCAGGGTCGGTTAACAAAGACACCAGGGACTCTAAGAAAAGATAGTCATGCTCTGCCGAGAAATCCTTCAATAGAAACCCGAGAAGGCCATGCTCCTGGGAGAACAGCAAATCCTCATGGCCGGAAAGAGCTTCTTTCAACGTGTCCAAAGCTAGGATACGGATGTCCGAACTTTGTTTTCGTGGTTGAACGTAACACTCGATTAGCTCACGGCAATGCTGAGCCCAATTTGAGTTACTGGAAGGATCACAAAATTTGTCTTCTCTCATCGAGTGGAGAATGAGTTCAGCTTGTGGAGGCTCAATGTGCTGGTATATGTTTGTGAGGAACCGGACCGCATGTTGTTTTTGCTCTCTGTTGAGTTGTTCCCACTGTGATTCAAGCACAGAAGCAATGCGGATGAGATTTGCCAGGATGTAGGACTTGGTTTCGTCGTAAGTAGGTTTGAGCTGAGGGCTAGTCGCAGAAGTGGGGGACGGCACTGACTCGTCTACGAGCCTGCGAGAACAGAGTTTGAGAAGATTAGCAAATGCCATCCAATCCCGTTCTAATGCGACTCGAACATAGTCTCCTTCCAGAATGTTGAGACACAGATCCAAAAGGTCGGCATCCACTCTGCTATCGTCTTTTTGGGCAATCACATGCAATGACTCCATCAGTTGGTCAAATGGAAGCTCGGGAATGCCATCTTGTCCATAAGCACGAACAAAATCCGAGAACACATAAAGCGTGCCACGGAGGACATTCAAGTTCCGACTTTGCTCGATGGCGCACGAATCTCTCAGGAATTTATGAAGCGTGTTCACCATCTCAGCCTGTCTTCGTGATTTGGCCAGATTGCGCACTACTCGCGAGGTGGGCCCAGAGAGAGGTTTGACTGATGCATGGATGCTGCAAAGGACATCCAGGAGAGTTGGGAAGCTTATGTCAGGCACATCGGCATACATAATGACAGCGTCGAACACGGCCAAGGAGTTTTTAAGATCCGCTGCAACACTGGTTCTCTTGCAAACCGCAAAGATTTCTGCAAGAAGCATTTCGATCTCATCCTGGGTTGGCTGTTTTCTCTGCAAAGTGATCAGGTCAACTGCAAATTGGAAGAGATCTCCAAACACTGCTTCATCGTGACTGGGTCCATGTGGTTTAACCACTTTTCCCTTTTTCGCCTTTGATCGCGCAGATGCGATTGTCTCATAGAAGGGAACAATCCACAAGGAGATGATAAGGAGAATTGAGGAGCCCGCGAAATCCAATTTCCTGCCATGATCTGATAGAGAGATCAACGACTGTACGCGCGCAGAAATCACATCCGGCTCGGCTGGAGAAGTTATCGATTCAAAAACCAGCCGTCTAGCTGACGGAGACAGATCTTGACGGGCCGCGATCGTTTCTAATAATCTGGCACCACTTTGCCGAGCATCCAACGAGCTTTCATGATGAAAGAGGTACTCAGCAGCCTCCCACAGCAACACGGACTGCTCGGAGCCAAACCATGAAAGACCTTTTAGTAATATCTCCGCCTCCTCAATCGCTTGGGTTAAGTTTTGCCCTTGTGATAGATTGTGGAGTGACGTCTCGAAATCCAGGCCACTGGGAGTGTCCGAGGAACTCGACACAACGCTGCCACGATGCATTGATTCGGATCCGTATGCACGCCGATTCGTTCCGCGACTTTCCGTGTGGGACAATGAGTCACTGCTGCTTTCCTGTAATGAGACTGGGGAATGCGATTTGGGTCGACCGACACCTAGAGTTTTGAATACATCTGCAAAGCTTGTTGACGAGGGTTTGTGTTGCGAGAAGTGTGGAACATCATCGGAAGACATCCGCTCAGTGGCTGAAAGAGAGTGGAGTCAGGAGAAGCGCAGTTTGTGAACTAGTTGACATCCAAGTTAGTCCAGGAATTGCACCATCCATGATAGGCAACATCGAAGGGCAGATAGGGTATTTTTACTCTTTATAGGTAACAGACAAGAGCTCTTGACTACATAGGTAGCTTGTATGATAAGAAAATGCACATATAGGGACACATATGATGCCTAGCAATCTGCGACAGTGGGTATATGGTGATCAGTGTCGGTGCGCAAAACGACCCTGATCGGCAGCGGATAGTGACTTGGGCCAGGATCACAAGATCCGATGATGAATATCAATGGAACCAGTACCCCACTAGGTTGATGACACAACAAGCAAGTGATGTGATGTGGATTGAGGGGGTTAGCAATCGCGTACCGGAGATGAAGATATTCCAGCCCAATCACCTGATGTACTTGGCACTTGTGTTGCACACCGCCCATTTATGTGGCAGAAAGGGCGGTGGATAAGGTTAAGTTCAGATCTGTTACTTGTACTTTTGTTAGAGATGAGTGTGAAAGGCTTGAGGCTACACATAGAGGTAGGGGCAGGCTGTTTAAATGTTGTTTTCTCAAGAGATTCTCCTTCCACAGAGTACAAACTATCATAGCACATCGCCTCTCTCCGCAATTTTTTTCCCGTCCAAATCACATGACTCATACTTATCGGAGGGCAGAAAAGTCAATCAAGGTGGGGGGCGGTGACCTTGGAGAGGCGGTTTTTTTGCGGCTTCAAAAATTATTTCATTCTTTCTTCCCCCTTGGCAGAAGCCAGGAACGGCACCCTACATTTCTTTTTGAGGGTCTTTGGTTACACTGGTCATTCTTTGCTAAAACTCAATATCCAATTTGAAATTTTTTGTTTCAGTCGGGTTTTTCATCCTCATCGTCGCCAGGATGAAGTACGTCGTGGTTTCTGGAGGTATTTATTCCGGGTCGATCTATATTGTGAAAAACTAGCAACTGACTCTTGGATAACAGGTGTTATCAGTGGCATCGGGAAGGGTGTAATTGGTACACCTCTCTATAAATCAAGCTAGAAAAAGTCCGCTCGGTCTAACTTTCTCCAGCCTCGAGTACCGGATTGCTGCTGAAGACTCAGGGTGCCCGAGTCACCTCCATCAAGATCGACCCTTATATGAACGTCGATGCGGGAACAATGGCTCCTACCGAGTATGCGGTTAATCAATCCTTATTTTTGAGTGCTGTCTGTTACTAATGATAGTTTCATAGGCACGGAGAGGTTTTCGTGTTGAACGACGGTGGTGAAGCGGATCTTGATCTCGGAAACTATGAGCGGTACGTTCTTATCTCCCTGGGGTTTATTTGAAGTCAAAGTATCCGAGACTAATTGAAATCCTGCGGTTTAGCTACCTTGGAGTTACCCTTGGAAGGGATAACAACATCACAACCGGAAAGGTCTACAAGCATGTGATCGAGAAGGAGCGCCGCGGCGATTACCTTGGACGCACGGTGCAAATTGTGCCCCACTTGACAGACGCTATCCAGGAATGGATCGAGCGTGTGGCTAGAACCCCCGCCGACGACACCAACGAGGAGCCGGATGTTTGTGTTATCGAGCTTGGTGGCACACTTGGTGACATTGAAAGTGCTCCTTTCGTTGAGGCTCTGCGTCAGCTGCGTCGTCGGGCTGGCAAAAACAATTTCGTCCAGATCGTATGTTCAGCCAACAGACCATCTGATTTTAGACAATCCTGACCCGTTTCTAGCACGTTTCGCTGGTTCCCGTAATTCACGATGAATTAAAGACTAAGCCTACCCAGCAGGCTATCCGGGACGCTCGCTCAGCTGGATTGAGCCCGGATCTCATTGCCTGCCGTTGTGAGAGACCCCTTGACAAGGCCACCACTGATAAGATTGCCATGTTCTGCCAGGTTGAGACCGAGCAGGTGATTGGCGTGCATAATGTCAGCTCTACCTACCATGTCCCTCTACTTCTTGAGCAGCAAGGTTTCCTTGGTGTTCTTGGCGACCTTCTCAACATGAAGAATCTTGAGATCACTCAGACTCAGTTGCTTAAGGGTCAGTCCACTTGGAAACAGTGGAAGACTCTTACGACTGCGCAGGAGCACACATTTGAAACTGTCAACATTGCTCTGGTTGGCAAGTATGTCACTCTCCACGACTCTTACTTGTCTGTCATCAAGTCCCTGGAGCACGCAGCCATGGCTTCTCGCCGAAAGCTTAACATCATTTGGGTCGATGCCTCGCATCTTGAAACCGAGTGGGAGGAGGCCAATTCCAAGGAGTACCACAAGGCCTGGTACGATGTCCACACCGCCCATGGAATTTTGGTTCCAGGAGGCTTCGGCACCAGAGGCACCAACGGTATGATTCGTGCTGCCCACCACGCCCGTACCAAGAACAAGCCTTACCTTGGTATCTGCTTGGGCATGCAGATTGCCGTGATTGAATACGCTCGTAATGTATGTGGCCTCGAGGGTGCCAACTCGGTTGAACTTGATGAGCGTACTACCCATCCCATTGTGGTGTACATGCCTGAGATCGACCAAGTGAACCTTGGCGGTACTATGCGTCTTGGTTCCCGTCCTACTCTCTTCCAGGAGAATTCCGAATGGTCTAAGCTCCGTTCTCTCTACGGATTGGACCGCACTTCTATCGATGAGCGCCACCGCCACCGCTATGAAGTTAACCCCCAGTATATTGATCAGCTACAGGCTGCCGGTCTCCACTTCATTGGCAAGGATGACAAGGGTGAGCGCATGGAGATCGTCGAGCTGAAGGACCACCCCTGGTTCGTGGGTGTTCAGTTCCACCCCGAGTACATTTCTCGTGTGTTGGCACCTAGCAAACCATTCCTCGGATTCCTTTCTGCTGCAGCCGGCTGTTTCGATCAGGTTAAGGCTTTGTCTCAGGCCAAGGAGACAGATTTAGCTAACGGCGTTAGCAACATTGTTCTCTAAGCATTAATTGTTCCCAACGATGGTTCCACAGGAGTTTGTAATTGTCACGAAAAGCATATGAATATAGAGAATCAAACAACTATTTACAATATAACGCCACTTGTACCTTTTTAAAGTACGCAGAGAGCTCTCATTTAGAAGATCAAGCGTCATGCCTGAGGCATTGCGAGGCTCAAGCATGTGACATGCTAACCACGTTGGGCTTAGCGTACTTCCAGTGTTTATGTGGGTTGTTACAATTTATTGAGCGCTCGCTGTATTAACTTTGAGCCTTGGATCTTCTATCTTTTTCCTTCTGTGATTGTCAACACACCTACTTTCCCTTTGAGCCCCTAAATACTTAACTCCCATCTGTGCCCATCTGTTCTTTTCTCTTTCACTTTCTTCATCTATTCCCCTCGCTTGTGTTGATACCCCACGTAGCAAGATGGCGGAGGGTCTTGGAGCTCTGTTAGAGGCAAGCTTGGACCCCAGGCAAAACAAGGCTGGTAAGTTATAAAAGTTGAGCTTGAATCCTGAAAGTATTGTTGACGGGAGGTATTTTCCAGCCGAGATCACTCTTCGTCAGGAAGAACAGAAACCCGGTTTCTCGCTACAGCTTCTGCACATCACCGCATCAGAGACTACACCTTACAACACACGTCTTGCTAGTGCTCTGTGCTTCAAGAACTTCATCAAGCGCAACTGGACGGACGAAGATGGAAATTACAAGCTGCAACAGGATGAAGTCACAACTCTCAAGCGCGAGCTGATCTCCTTGATGATCTCGGTTCCATCAGGAATTCAAAGCCAGTTGGGTGAGGCCGTTAGCGTTATCGCCGACAGTGACTTCTGGGAGCGGTGGGATACACTAGTTGATGTAAGTCACAATTCAACAAGGCGTTGTTATGAGATCTCTGACGATGGGTTTTTCTTTTCAGGACCTCGTCTCAAAGCTGTCACCGGGCAACCCCACCGTCAACATTGGTGTGTTGCAAGTTGCGCACTCAATTTTCAAGAGATGGAGACCTTTGTTCCAGTCCGATGCGCTCTATACTGAGATCAACCACGTTCTCGGCAAGTTCGGCACTCCATTCCTGGCCCTGTTTGAGGTATCTTCAATTTTCTCAATTTTGCTTCGGTGGGTCGAATGCTAACCGATTCCAGGCACTGGACAGCTATCTTGAGCAAAACAAGACAAACAAAGAGAATTTGGCCCAAGGGTTCACTCAGCTCAACCTGATGGTGAAGCTGTTCTACGACCTCTCCTCCCACGATCTCCCTCCCATGTTCGAAGACAATATCTCCGGAATCACAACAATCTTTCTCAAATACTTGACCTATGATAACCAATTACTCCACACCGACGATGAGACGGAGGCTGGTCTGTTGGAATATGTTCGCGCCGGAATCTTTGAGGCTTTGACTCTCTACGTGCAGAAGTACATGGATGTGTTCCAGCCTCACGTTGGACAGTTCATTGGAAGCTCATGGAACTTCCTCACAACCATCGGCCAGGAGACCAAGTATGATATTTTGGTCAGCCGAGCACTCCACTTCTTGACATCCGTCGCGGGCATGCCCGAGCATGCCGCTTCTTTCCAAGCCGAAGAAACCTTGGGTCAGATTGTTGAAAAGGTCATTTTGCCGAATGTGAGCCTACGCGAGTCAGACGAAGAGCTCTTCGAGGATGAGCCAATTGAGTTCATTCGACGGGACCTGGAAGGGTCTGACAGCGAGACCAGACGCCGAGCTGCCACTGATTTCCTCCGCAAACTTGCAGAGAAATTCGAAGAGCCAGTAACCCAGGTTGTCCTCAAGTACACTCAGCACTATCTGGCTGAGTATTCCAAGGACTCGTCTAACTGGAAGGCCAAGGACACAGCGACGTACCTTTACTCCGCTATCGCCGCCAAGGGCACTGCAACCTCCTCGCACGGTGTTACTGCCACCAACCAGTTGATCAGCATCACGGACTACTTCCAGCAAAACCTCGCCGCGGATCTGATCAATGAGGATGGCGTTCACCCTATCCTGAAGGTCGACGCTATCAAGTATTTGTACACTTTCCGCAGCATCATCACCAAGGAGCAGTGGCAGCAGGTTCTCCCTGTGCTGGTGAAGCACTTGGCTTCGTCGAATTTTGTCGTCTACACCTACGCTGCCATTGCCTTGGAGCGAGTTCTTTTCCTCACCGACAGCCAAGGACAAGCGGTCATCCCATCAACTGAAATCACACCGCTTGCTAAGGATCTTCTCGAGCACATCTTCCAGCTGATCCAGAGTGACCCAGCACCTGAAAAGGTGCAAGAGAATGAGTTTTTGATGCGTTGCGTGATGCGTGTTTTGGTTGTTATCAAGGAGGGTGTGGTGCCTTTCACCGATGTCGTGCTCCAGCGCTTCATTAATATTACCAATATCATCAGCGCGAATCCAAGTAACCCCCGATTCTATTACTTCCACTTTGAAGCCCTGGGTGCCTTCATCCGGTACGTTCCTACACGTTTTGCTTTCGAGGTGCTAAAAGCTAACTTTGCAACAGATTTGCTGCACCCGCTAATCCCGACAAGCTCGAGCAGGCTCTTTATGCGCCCTTCGCAGCTATTCTCCAGAATGATGTGCAGGGTGAGTCAAACTAGCAAAGTAGACATCTTTATCAAAACCACTTTTTACTAACAAATTTCAGAATTCATGCCCTACGTTTTCCAGCTTTTCGCGGCGTTGCTCGAGGCCAACCCATCCGGCACCCTTCCCACCTACTACCAGGAGCTTATTGGCCCTATCTTGATGCCCGTTATGTGGGAATCGAAGGGAAACATTCCTGCCTTAGTTCGGCTGCTTTCCTCGATCATTCCTCGTGGTTCGCAGTTCATCATTGAACACAACCAGATCGAGCCCATCCTTGGTATCTTCCAGAAACTAGTTTCTACCAAGGCCAATGAGAGCTTTGGCTTTGATCTCCTGGAGACGGTTGTTGCCAACTTCCCACCGTATGTATCCAATTTCCCAGGCGCCAAATTGACGGTTACCTGACTTCACTTTCCTTAGAACTGCCCTTGAGAATTACTTTGTCATGATTATGCAGATCATTCTACAACGTCTGCAGAACTCCAAGACAGAGAATTTGACTCTTCGCTTTGTCCGCTTCTTCCATTTCATCTCGGCACAGGACAACAAGGGCTATAGCGCGGACTTTGTCATCCAGGTCACCGACAAGGTGCAGGAGGGGTGTGTATCCCCGCTTTGTTTAAACTACTCACATACTAATTAATGCCTAGACTTTTCACCCCTATCTATGTTAATGTCATCCTGCCTGAAACTCAGAAGCTTGCTCGGCCCTTGGATCGGAAGACAGCTATCGTCTCCTTTACCAAGACCCTTGCCAGCTCGGAGGCCTTTGCCACTCGTTACAGCCAGAAGGGATGGGGCTTCACCTGCACTGCCTTGCTGAAGCTCCTTGAGCTTCCCCCGCTGCCCGCAAGCAGGGATGATATCATTAATGATGCAGATATCGAAGACATGTCCTTTGGTGTTGGGTTTACCCCTCTGAACACCATCCGTGCCCAGCAGAAGGACCCGTGGCCCGAGACTGGTGCCGACCTCAAGGCTTGGGTGGGCTCATACCTGAAGGAAGCCGACAAGAAGCAGAATGGCCGTATTTCACAATTCGCCCAGGAGCGCCTTGACGACCAGTCGAAGACTGTGCTGGGAAGTTACATTTCTTAGTGGCTTTGCAATGACTCCTTTCCCTTCCAAGAAACTAAAAAGTTCAAAATCCGCGTTTTTGCTTTCTCCTTCAGAGCAATGCGATCCTTTTCCCGAACTCCCCCTACTACACCATATGCATGTTGCGATGAGACCCTAGATCCATGAAATAAATGTTTGTTTGATTTTCCGATAGATGAACGTCCATGAGAACTTTGATTTCTCACAAGTAAACGCTCAAACTCCAATGCAATAGATCTACTGTACATGACTCGTGACACCCAACAAGATAAAGCTCGCATCAAACACTCTTTCCGAACTCCCCAGGGGACCTGGACTCATCTCCAACCTCCGATGTAGCCTCCTTATTCTCTCCCTCCTTTACATCATCATCCCATATTATCTCAATCTCATCTTCTTCTTCCTTCTCCCCAACAATTTCTCCCTTCTTTGCCCCCTCTCCAAGCTCACGATACTTCCTCCTCGTCTTTTTCAACTTGCTAGCCTTCTTCTTCTTCGCCGCCGCAGCCTTAATCGCAATCCGACTATTATCCCCCTTCTCCCGCGCTTCGACTCTATCAGCAAGTAGCGAGCGCGCAATCTTCGCATTCTGCGATTGGGAGCGCGTTGCCTGGCATTTGATTACCACCCCGCTGGGCTTGTGAATGATTTGGACGGCTGAGTTGGTTTTATTCTAGATTGTATTAGTGTTTTTGTTTTGCTGGTGAAGATGGCATGGGGCTCAGGAAGAAAGAGGAGAGGGGGGGCGTGGACTAGGGATATGCTTGGGACTTGAGACGTACAATCTTTTGTCCGCCAGGCCCGGTGCCTTTTAGGTAAGATATTGATATGTCGGCATCATTGATCTTGAGGCGTGGGGGAAGGGGTTTTGCGGGGACGATGGGGGTTTGACTGAAGAGTCGAGCAGGGGCTGCTAGTGTTCGGGACGATGCCCGCCAGTTTAGGTGAGAGAACATTACTTTGGTCTTCGTGGTGTGGTTTGTTCAAGGTTGAGGTTATTGCCGCCGACGTTGGCGATAAGATAAGCTTGAAGTATGCGTTTTTTTTGACTTGACTTTTTGGCTCCTTTAGGTTGTGAGCTGGTTGACTTGAAAGTATAAGCTTGGTATTTAACATCAATGGGAGATTTAGGCCATTAGATGTGTTTGCGCTGGCTGTTTATAAGGACTGTATTCACTAGGGCAGACTTCTAAGCTATCTTCACTTCAACCAGATAGAATAAGAGGACTTGAAAGGTGGCCATAAATAGTAGAACACTTATCTAAGGACTCTGAGTCGGATACTGGGTCTCTTTTAGATGGGCTAATCAACTTGATTATCAAACAGACTTAAAACTGCTGGTAGTACATCTATGAATTTTGTTAGCCTTCAAACCGAGGTATGGACAAGTACAATTGAGACCAATGATGGAAATAAGTAGATCTACAGAGTACAGAGAAATGATAGATAAAGGATGCGCTATGAATATAGATGTTAATACTATATAAAGTCATGATATCTTATTTGTACAAATTTGCACAAACTCCGAAAGACAAAGTACCGAGTACCTGAGATTTCAGCGTGAAGTGGCGGCAAAGGGAGGTACTGGGTACAAACCCTTGCGGCAAACATGAATAGGGGAAGTTTGCAATTCCCCCAGCTTCGCGGCTCTTATCCGCATTCTCTTCCTTCCTCCTATCACCAATCCACCTCAACGTCTCCATGTCAATACGCTCTTCCTGATTGTAACGAACATCCCGCAACTGCCTACGTCCGCACGATATCCGACGACCTCACGTCAACACTTGCCCGAGCCGAGTTGATTTGAAACACCATCCCTCAATTTTCCATTTCGCAACACCACGCCCCGTCCGGGCAAATAGTGCCCGTGTCTGATACGACTGTCTTCAGCATCTGATTCCCACGTGTATTTTCGGTGATACTTGGTGGAAACGGAATAATCAAACGAACGGCACCGCAAGCCGCAAGACGTGACAAAAATCCAGAGCATCCTATAATCATTTGAATACCCCGCAGCAATGGACTTCATTGTCTGGGTCGTGTCTAGCATCCTCCGCTGGATGCGATTGAAGGTCTACCAGTATGAGGTGACCTTCTCCCTATATATGCTTACGCCGATTGAGAAGCTCATCTTCAGTATGTTGCGCTTGTCTTCCATCCATAATGCTCGTGGCACGTCATGCTGATAATCACTTCCTATTCAGACACGCTGCTCCTTGGTCTTGTCACCATGATCGCTATGGGCACTTACATTTACCTCCCCGACCACCTCCGCGCCATCTACGGCCGCCTCTACTACTACTGGGCCGGTGAGCGCTTGTTCAACTCGGTCTTTGGCGAAAATGGCGTTGCCACACAAATTGGGGACATGGTGTACGAGACGGCAAAGAATGCCGCTGCCACCACGACCAAGCGCATTGCTGAACTGTGAATAAAAGCCCGACACGAATAATTGTTGCACTTGCATTCTCCACTGCCAAAAGAGAGGACTTGCTTAATGCCCTTGGCTTGTTATATCCAACGCACCTCGTATCCACTCTTCCTGTCAGCCGGCGCTTGTTTGGAGTTATGTTCTGGGAACTTGCGGCATCCCTATGACTTGCATTGTCGCACTGCGGCGGATTACATTTTTATTAATTCCTGTCTTTTTTTTCTTAGGTCATCCACACCACACTGTGTATAAATGTGCCTCTTTCCCGACAGAGTCCTGTGGTCGATTGATACCTCTGTATGTGTTATCGTTGGAACGTGATCATGATTGAAGTTGATTTTTGCAAACTTTTCCAGAATGATGTACAGCTACATAGGTAGTAGATGGTAGAATAAAGCAATATGATGTTGAATAATGCAACACTTAAAATAGAAACCCCAGAACGCCCTCGATGCCCAGAGCAGAGTGTTGTACAAGTAAACCCACCATCAGCATGTGTAACTCACAAGCGCAATGCCAAGCTTGTCCTCAGTAACTATCAAGCCCCCAAACGAGAGGGAAGAAGAATATCAGCGGCTCCTTTCGGAACGCCCTTTTCCCCCCGGCGACTTATACATTGGGCGTGTGTCATATTTCAGACTACGCCACCAGCTCCCCTCAATCACACCCACTAGCTACAGCTTCATTGCTGACTCGGCGTGGCTTGGATCTGTGCCTGTGTCTCCGCCGCTTGTCTCTGCTCCCGCTTCATGGCATCCACCATGCGCATACGTGTCAATTCCTGGTCAATCTCCTCCTTATCCAACGGGATCTTGTGCGATTGCTCGGCAGTGGGCCAGAATCCCTTTGTGGAGAAGCGGTTGTCGAGGTTGGTACCGAAATAGTACATCCAGCCGATGGGGAAGAGGACGTACATGCCAAACTACATGGACTTCATTAGTCACAAGGACAAGCGATGGAAGACCGGAACTGGCGTTTCCTGCTCGAGAGAATCGATTGTGAACTACGCACCTTGAAGACCTCGAGGTTGCCTCCCTGCAACTTGCGCAAGATTTGCGACGACATTGTATGGGTTTGATATGTTGCCCTTTTTTTTTTCTCAGGGTGTTTTGGCTTCAGATACTGCTAAGAGTGTGGATTGAGGATCGATGATATTGTTGGTATGTGCTCAATTGATAATACCGCTTGGTTCCAGTAGACAGACAACAGCGATAATGTGCAGGTTGATCTTCAATCTTCAATCTTCAATCGCCGAGTGGTGCCATGGCCCGTGAACCAGTCACGGGCTTGACTACTCGGGTTTGAACAAACGAGACAAACACACTGGCTCATTCTGCCTCAGGCAAAGAATTGGGCTCACCGCGGGCCTCGGCTCCTCGGAAACTCAAGGTGTACCCAGATACCCTACATAGAGACTATTGATATACCATTGCAATCCGTGTTTGTTTTCAAATCCCATTGAACAATCTCTCTCTGCAATATCCAGTAACAATGACAAATGAGAATCTCATTACCCTTACCTACCAAGATCGCGTAGCGATCGTTACACTCAACCAGCCTGACAAGCTAAATGCTCTCAATGCCGACCTATACTATCTTCTAGCCGAGCGTTTACGTGAAATTAACTCGAGAGAGGACATATTCATCACAGTGTTGACTGGAACAGGTCGTTTCTTCTCTGCGTATGTCATCCAAGCTTGACAAAACCTACTGTTCATATCTAACACTGATATCATGTCTAGCGGAGCCGACATAACAAGCGTACGTCCTGGCAGCCACGATCTGGGCTCAAAAGTCCACCGCGAGCTCCTGAAAGGGTTTGTAGCTAATAATGTTTACGTTACACGCACCTTCTACAACCACTCCAAGATCCTTGTTGCCGCCTTGAACGGGCCCGCTGTCGGTCTTTCAGCAGCGCTGGTTGCCCACGCTGACTTCATCTATGCTGCCCCGCACACTTTCATCCTGGCTCCCTTCTCCTCGCTCGGCCTCGTCGCCGAAGGCGGCGCAAGCCGTGCCTTCGTCGAGCGTCTTGGCATCGCCAAAGCGAACGAGGCGCTCATCATGAGCAAGCGAATTACCTGTGACGAGCTCGTTTCGACTGGCTTTGTAAATAAGGTTATTACGCCAGAGTCCGGGAAGAAGGAGGACTCCGATGGGTTCTTGAAGAAGGTGCTTGAGGAGCTTCGTGATCATCTTGGTGAGCACTTGAACCAGACTAGTATGTTGAAGATCAAGGAGCTAGTAAGACGGCCTGAGAGGGAACTTCTAGATCGCCAGAATGGCATTGAGGCATTTGAGGGCCTTGAGCGCTTTTTAAAGGGAATTCCGCAAGAAGAGTTCCGGAAATTGGCATCTGGTGAGAAGCGACATAAACTTTGAATACTGAAGGGGATTTTTCTACTTAGCCGTCAGAAGTTGTGGCTGCCCGTTCTGTTTTCTCAACTCAGTACATACTTTTCGGGATTCTTTTTCGGTATCACCGTTCAACAGATTGACTGTCTCTTTATACACTAACTTGATCCCTTTCAGAAGGATGCAAAGAGGAACTTTATCAAACCTCCCTGTTTGCTGGGCGTGATAAACATTCAACCTTTGTTTTTACATACCCTGATAGAGGTCCATCTAGGTAGACGATTACAACTACTCGTGACCATCATCGACAACTGTAAATTGATATTTAATCATAGAGAATGCGTGGATTGATTTGTATTCCACGTTCCGACTTTGGAACTCCCAGATGTTCATCTCCCTGCTATAGTTAACGCCACGAGGCCAAGAATCCATGCTTTTATCTCGCTCAGTGTTCTGAGTCGAGGTTGTTTTATTCAGAGTCACTGCCAGCAGTCCGATCCTCTTGCTCCTGCTTCTTCAAGATGTCTTGCCACTGGCCCATGAATTCACTCATGCCGCCAGGCCCCTCAAGCGAAGCATCGACCAGCTCCCGTGGCACCTTGTGAGCCGAATACTGAGTGGAGCTGAATGCGTATGCTTCCGGATCATCCTTCTTGATGAGACGGAATTCTGGGAGGAAGGGAGCCTGTTCGTCATCTCCTTCGGCGCCTTGATGTTCTTCCTCCGAATCGGAAGAACCCGAATCATCTTCTTTTTCAAGGTCTTCCGCCGTGCCAGAAGTGACGATTTTACCATCTTGAAGTGAAATTCTTACAAACCCATCCGCCACATCATCTTCTTCCTCTTGCACACCAATCGGATCCTTCATCTGGAGAATCTCCAACCAACTGTACAGCAATGGGTCGGTCCGTTGCGCCCACGGGTTGATATCAATCAACCAGACACGCTGGTGTGGTGCGGGGATATAGACGTCGAATACAAAGTTGGATTCGGGGAAGGTGTTCTTGAGCTTCTCATCAAAAAATGACTGGATCCGAGATCGGAGCAAATCGCGCATAGGGAAGAGGAAGTCGAAGTGATTTTGATCGCGCTGGGTCAGGCATAGCAAGACGCGGTTGCGCACAAAGCAACGGAATTCGAGCGAAGGGTTGAAGTTGACGTATTTGCGGAGAACCAGAGAATATGGCACATCCGGCAGCGATGAGTCAACGGTGGATGGCGTGGGTTCGTCACTAGTTGCATCCGGTACACAGTCGTCGAAGGGATGATCTAGATCATGGGTGATGAAGTCGCTGCTTTTCAGGAGCAAGTAGATGTCATTCGGAGAACGACATTGGGTGTCGTTTGTGGCAGCCATGAATGTTGCATCTTTGGGAGCACTCCAGTTTAATTTCGGTGTGACAATGCCGCCGAGATCCGAGATGGTATTCTTGATTTGAGTATGGATCTCCTGCCACTCCGTAGATGGATCGGCCTCCTCTTCGCCCGAATCAGAGAATGTGTCCAGGTTATCGTCGTCGGTTGGGGCAACGGCCTCTGGTGGAAGCACAATGCCGTCGGCGCGGAGGTATTCAACGAAAGGAGCGGTCAATGGAATGACGCGCGACTTGGGAGCAAGTGTGCGGTACCTATAATTTCGTTATTATGTGTTGGGTATTGAGTCATACTTGGAAGCTTACCGCGGATGCCAGTCATGATAGGAGCAGTGCAAGATGTGTGAGTAGGTGGTTGGCGGAAATGGGAGACGATCTGGGATATTGTTGGATGGCATTTCTGCCGTAGTAGCGTCTGATTGAATCTTTGGCATATTGGATAATTGATAGTGTAAATTCTAAGACGATTTGATGACAATCGGCTTCCCCTCGGTGGCGGGGGACTTTTTCTGCCATCACGTGCTGATAATGATAAGGCCTAGTGCATAGGGGTCTCAGGCGCTCAGGCATCCATGTCGCATGGACTACTTGTTCTCTGTAAACCAACAGTCTCACCACGTATCCCATCAGCATGGCTCCTGAGGCCCCTGATCCTCAAAGCCTGAAGTCATGGAATGATGCATTCCAATACCCGATTCCCACGGTCCGCCGTGTGGAACAGGAGCTGCGCCGGGACATCGCGAGCAATAAGGAGAAACTCCGAGCTCTCGTGGGGTAGGTGAATGATTTGCCATAGTAGCTGTTCCTTCGCTAATCTTGATATATGCTTTGGTTATAGGGTGCGATATCGTGACTTAATTGGAACTGCTGAGACAATTGTGGCCATGAACCGAGACATTCAAGACGTGGAATCCATTCTGACCGATGTTGGACACCAGTGCAATCCTCGACTTATCGAAAGGAAGCACATTCACGTCCGGCAAATCAAGGCTGGCGATGCTGAGAAAGGTATGGAACTCACACTGGAAAAAATCAAATATCAGTAGCTGATAGTGTGAGCATAGACGCAAAGAAGCACGCATTCGGAGCACAGCTTTCTCTCCTTCACCGCTGTACATCCTCTATCAGCCGGCTTTTGCGACGTCGCAGTTCGTTCCTGTTGGTTGCGAAGATTCTAGTTGTTTCCAGGTCACTCCACAACACAATATCGAAACATGAATCACTCCCTCCATTCCTTGATGATCTCTGGAAGCAGGTAGCATCCCTCCGACAAACACTTCTCAAACGAATTAATAAACGCCTTGCCTCTGCAAGCGCTACAGAAGAAACTATCATTGAATCGTTGGCCGCCTATTGCCTCGTAGAAAGCCCTTCTTCCGATGATGCGATTCGTCATTTTTACCGAGTGCGCCTGGACCTCATTGTTAGCCAGCTAGATACATCTCGTGAGAATATTCCCAGAGCTCTTCAGCTGTTTGTTCGGACAATTCAGACCTCAAAGGTTTTGCGATCCCATCGATTCTCAGATGTGCTCTTGAAACTTAAAGCTCGACCCCTCCTCGCCGACCCAGAGATTCAGAGCATAGATGGACTGGAGGTGGAATTTCTTGGTCGCTGGGTGGCTCCAGATGTGAAAAATTTCACCCCCTGGATTAAGCTCAGCGAATTAAACAGAACCCAGGGTGTGGAATCGATCAAGGAATGGTCACTCGAGGCCTTTAAGAAATTCTCCGAAGGCTGCCAAAAGAGCCTGGCCCACAGCACCGATTTCTCCGAGCTCCTCTCTCTCCGTGCAGAGACTGTGGAATTGTGGCTATCATCATGGGGCTCAACCATCATGCACGGCTCAGTAAATGTCCTCGAAAATCTCCGAAATATCTTCAATGACCACCTTGCCAGAATCCTGAATCTGCAAGCACAAAGCCTAGGCGAAGTCGGCACTCAAGTTTTATCGATAATATCAGACTGGGAGAACACCAATCACAAACCCGTCGGATCTCTCTGGGATGCCGATCTCAGTACCGCAGAATACATGAATGGCGCGCAGGCATTCAAACAAACCGTCGCAGATAGATTATTGGGTCGTGACGAAGACGTCTCTACCGTTCTTGCAAATTATCAGGCATGGCTCGCATCAATCCAAAAATTCAACGAATCCATCGACTCTCTACGCCGCACAAGATGGTCCGACATTCTGGTCGGGGCTGAAGTCGATGATGAAGATGTGGACATCTCACCTCGACTCAACGAAGATGACCCCCGACATCTATCCGATTCTCTTCATTCTGCCGTTCGCGACGCATTTACCAGTCTCCAGACTTCATTCAGCAACGCTTTCAAGTCGCTCAACCCCTCGCATTCAAGCGAAAAAGCTACTTTCCTACTGAGACTTATACGACTCGTCCGGCGAGATATGCCCGCCGGCTTCATATCTGGAGAATTTGTCTTCTCGAGCGAAACAGTTCCTGATCTACAGAAGTTGCTTGCAAGAGAGGTAGTCGCCAAGGCTGGCTCGCTGAGCTTGATTCCGTCCCCGAAGAGCAACCCCCAGACAGGTAAGATCAAGATCGTACCCGGCCGATCGCTCTGGGAAGGCAAGCCTGCCATACCGGTTCAGCCTTCGGCTTCGAGCTTCAAGCTCCTCCGTCAGCTTACCTCCTCGATGGATACCTGCGGATTGGATCTGTGGGATCCGTCCACGGTGCATGCATTGAAGCAAGAATTGAAAACGAAGCTTGAGGCAGCTATCTCATCTGCTTTGGATGATCTCGACAGCGAAAATGTTCTCAGCAAGGCTGACAAGCCCACTACCAGCGGAGATAAGGAAAAGGAAGATAATTCCACGGAGAAATTGGAGACCCAAAGCCCGGATCCAGATCAAGCCGAGGGCCTGCGCGACTTGAAGGTTCAGCTCTTCTTCGACTCTCTGTACCTGTCTCAGATGCTCGGCGAGCAAAATAAGCTGGCTGGTGTTGTCGAGCGTGCTCAGAGGTGTTCCGGTGCCAGTGCAGAGACTGTTGGGGCTATCAAGAAGCTTGCAACTGAGTACTGGACTCGGACGGAGCTGCTGTTTGGTCTCTTGGCAAAATTCTGAGGAATTATCAGGAGAGTGCTGCATCTCGCCAAATGCTCATTCATGCCTCACAGTATCATTTTAAGAAGCAGGGGATACACACTGTACTTGAATTTATTTTTGAACAGGAGATACATTGCTTGCATAGCATGCGGACAAGAGTTCATTACAGAGCGTGTAGACAAGATAGCATACATTTCATTTCATACAATCTTATCTTGTCCAGCCATAAGATGATCATGTGCCAGATATTCACAAATTTCCCTCGTTCCACACAGATCACCAACTGTTTACTTTTTAGGTTGACAACTTTCAATTTCAAATGTTTTTGCGGTTTCTTTTGGTTGTCGAGCTTTCGCTTGTCAATCGGGGAAGGGATAATAGCCCTTCTCAGTTAGCAGCACTCTTGGCAATGATCTCAACCTGGCATCGAATGATTTCAATCTCGCGCTGAACAGCCCAGAGGGCGCGCTGGGCCTCACGTGCTGAGCTACCGAGGTCCTGAGCCGGAACGGTCATCATGCCCTCCTCGATGCCCTTGGGAGACCAGTGCTCAGTGATATACTCAAGCTGGCCATCGATCGGGAGAATGCGTCCCCGAATGACAGAAAGCTCCTCTAGCTTTGCGGTGGACCAATTGCTGTCGAATTGTTGTCTCCACCGCCCCTTCAGCTGTCGGAAGCTGTCTAAAACATTATCAAGAGCTATGGCGATCTTCACACCGTCGGTAAATATCACCCTGCGCATGTGTATTCTATCCCGAGTCGACCAAGAGGCTGCGGGTAGAATGCTCATGCGTCTTGTGCACACCTCGTGGAAGTGCTGGACAAGTTTACCCTCGCGGGTTTGTTCCCTACAGCGGTTATTTTCAAGGACCTTCATCACCTGTCTCCAGCGTCGCTGAAGATTTATGATCATGTCAAGCTCGTAGCCGGTATATTCGTCAATTTGCCAGTCTTCCTCTAGGCCCATGCATAGTGGATTCTCGGCGATGCGCGACACTTGCAGGATATCGCTTAACTGAGCAAATTTCGCGTTGCCTTGTGTGAAAGAACGCAGGAAGAGAGGGGCGGATTTTCTATCATCAAGCGTAATGACGCAAAGCTCATCTTTATGGTTGTAGGCTGCATACTCGCGGATGCAACTTTGCCGGAACCTATCACTATTGGAAAACTCCAGTGTCATTCCCGGTGGAATAAGGGTTGATCGAAGTGTCTAGTTTGTTTTAGTAAAACTAGTCAAGCTCATTCTGGGAAAGAGTGCTAGAAGCAAAGACACATACCTTGTTGACCACTTTCTCCATCTCCTTAAAGCCGATTGGCTGCTTGGGCCAATGGTTTAAGTTGAGATTCACGGTCGTTAGAAGCTCAGTGCAGCGTCGTTTCACAATAGGGATTGGAAGATTACTGCGTCCCAGTCCTTGGAACCTCAGAATGCCGTTAGTGAGGGCACTTTCGACCTGTTCCATAAGGCTGCAGAAGCTGGTGACAATTTTCATCAAATCGGTTGTTTGCACTCGGATTTCTCTGTCCTTGAAACCGTAGTCTTTGGCGGGAGATTGCATAATTGTCGAAAGATGCTGCAAGGCCCAGGACCAGGGAATTACGATGCCCCTTCCCGGATTGGCGATACAAAGCTGCACAGTATCAGTAACCTAGTGTATCATCGTCGATGTTTGAAAAAAGACAACATACAATGTATGTAGCTGCAAATTCGAGCACAGAAAGGACAGCATGGAGGGACCCAAGGGAGGATTTGGGTGTTTTCTCGAGACATTGAACAAAGGCGCTGACGCCGTTGTGCTATACAAAGGTTAGTATAGTTCGATGAACAATGTAGATTATGTCTCACAAAGTCTTGAGCATGGCGTCTTGCAACCGCGGACCGAATTCTCTCAGCAGCATTCAATGCTGTCAAAGGCAACGCCAGCGGATGGCCAGATCGCTTAGGGCGCGGTGGCATGCTGCGATCCATGTTCATAACGAGTGCTCGCTGAAATCGCGTGGCCGGGTGGGGACCTGCGAATTTAGATCAGCTATTAGAGCTAGTCTTTAGCCTTTCCAAAAAAAACAACCATCATACCGAGAATTTGAGCTTCTTGGACCTTCTCTAGAGAAGAACTCAGACTGCCCATCGAGCTCCATTCCTTGTTCATACGATAAAATAGTAAATCTTCGAGGCAGTATGCGGTTGCAGCAAACTCTGGATTGCTTTGCAAGTTGGAACGCAAATTTGCAATTGCAGTAGAGGACTGCTCCAATGAACTGACAATTACCAGCTCCTCTTGGATACTTTGGATCCAAGTTCTCCCTATACTATGTCAGATCTGAAACGCACGACAAAATTGGACCGACCACTTACTGCGACCCAGAAATGTTTTGCTGAAAGCCTCGCCCATTACTCTTTGATAGTAAATAGGCGTAAGTCGCGCAAAAACTTCAGCAACAGCTAGAAGGCACTGCGGCAGTCAACTGTTAGTTGATATGTTCTCCCTTCTCTGTGATTTACTAACATTCAACTTCGAAATAGCGAATTCTGCAGTAGGCTTATCATGACCCCAGAAGCATTCGGTGGCCTTGAGCTTTGAACAAAATCCTAATCGAAATGTTTAGAAATTTTTAAACGACAGTGTCAACGAATATAGCTTACCTTTGTAAAGCTGATGGAAACATGTTGGCGGAAAATCCTTCTTCACAAGACTGGATGCATTTTCATGGAATTGAGTAAGCACTGCCGCAAACTTGTCTTGAATGAAGTCTTTCGCAATGTCGAGCAAGTTCTCGGATGAAGATCCATCAATAGGCGTTGCTGTGTAAGTCCTCAATGGAGACCAGTGAAGCAGGATTGTCTGGTTCTCTTGCTTTGGGTTGGTAAAAATGCCACAACTCATGGCCAGGCAAGTAAGGGAATACTGGTTCCGGGCATAAAATTCCTGCAACAGCTCTCCAACTCGGATGACAATATCCATTGGAAGGTGCTCGATTTTCTGCCTGGTGAGTACTGTTGGCTCGAAAGCGATCACCTGAAAATGGTTAGCTCACCACCCACAAATGATGTCAAGATTGAAACCCTACAAATAGACAGAAAATGTCCTTTAAAAGTCCTTTATCCAGATGTTTAACTGAAGCTGGTAGATCGATATCGTCAAAATCATCGATCAACAGCAACAGCGTTTTCCACTGAGCGCCGAGTTTTTCGAGATAGGTTGATTTGACTGATTTGAGCAGCCCATCTCGCTCAGGCTTGCCCGGAATCAGATCTCTATGGGCATGCAGGATTTCGACCATGGAATAATTGAAGAGCTTTTCGACCACTGGCTTGTCGACCACTGGCATCAATTTGTGGACCAGCAATGTGCTCATCGCCACAGGGATGTCACCAACAGCCACTGATAGATCGTAATACTCAAACCATCTGGACTTTGATGAATAGAGCGCACGCAACTGGTCCCATATTTCAAACTCTTTGAAGAAAGCGATCTTGCACACATCCGACCCAAGCATGTTGATGGTTATCGCCCTCAGACGGGCAGAGACACGTCCCTGCTTAAGCAAGATATTGCATAGTCTCGAGTAACGAAGCAAGGTGGGCTCGCTGAGGTACTCACGGTTCCTATGCAAGGTCAAATTGTGTATTCAAAGCATAGAGAAATCGGTGTAAGAACCTGTTGGCATAGGTGACCAATTCATCGAACTGGTCTCCGCGGCGCAGGACCTCGATTGCCGCCTCGTGTTGACCACAATAATGATAACACTCCGAAGCTTCGGTGAACAAGTTGCCTTTCTCATAGAAACTTGCAGCTTTCTGATATTGTTCATGATCCTTCCAGATTTCTAGAAAAGAGGTAAGCATTACTCAGTCTCGAGGTGATTGAAAAAACAAACCTGCAACTTTGCCGAACTGCCCAAGTCCTTCGTAACACATTGCCGCTTCTGCAATGAGGCCGATTTCTAGGAAAAGAGCAATGGCTTTCTCGTAGCATGCGGTAAATTTTTCAGTATCGCCGGCCGCTCGGTGGGATCTTCCTTCTTGCTCATGCAAACACGCCTGCGAGTGTGTCATTCCTCGAGAATCATTGGCTTTCTTGTAGCAAAACATTGCCTGTTCAAATTTTATTAGCAAAACGCTCTTCTCCACCCGGTGGACAGTATATTACCTCCGCAAAGCTCTTCCGATGGAGTAGATGTGCTGCTCTCTTAAGCCACCTCTCTGGGTCCACCGAGCCACCGGCCCGCAGAACCATAACCTTTGACGCAACCTGAGAGAGATGAGACAAGGATAATAGTTATGTTGATCAGAAGGATACTTACATTAGGGTCTTTCTGCTTCACAAATTCAGCAAGCTCGAGGCTATTACTCTGGGAGAGCGTTTTAAGAATTGGATCGATGCTGTTCTCTTGGGGCTCCATGAACCACAGTTGCTTTCTGGCTCGAGTAACAGCGACATAAAGTGACTTGTCATCAATGTTAGCAAGATAGATCGGTAGCGAAGGAAGAGATGTACCTTGAGTTCTGAGCACAAAGCCTAGTTGAATATGTTAGCAACCACAGCAGGCTGGTTATCTCGTAGAGTACTCGCCGCATGTTTTTGAGAATCAAACTGCACTCGCGCTGCTTGAACAAGCATGTGAAGGCACCGGTAGTTGCTGCCAAGCCCACTGCTCCCGAAGAAGTCATACACCAAGACATCATCAAATTCCATGCCCTTGCTTTCTAGGATTGTCAAGACAAGGGCAATCTCGCCAATTTGAGTTTGTAATTTGTCCTTTGACATATTGTCTCGAACAAGGATGACTTGCTCGGCGCCAAAGTCGGCGACCTTGTCGTTAAGCTTGACAAGGCCAATCATTTTGGCAGAAAGAATCGAGGAGTCAAATCCAGCTATGTGACAATTCTTAGTGATTGAATGCTAATGAACCGGTGCGACATACCAAAGAGAATTGGCTTCGGCCCTCCAATATATCCAATCTCTGGGTCCAACTTGTCAATGGTTTCCGGGAATCCTATGCATGGAAGGTTAGATGGAGATAAGCCTGGCATTCACAATTCCCATACCGTGCCAGAGTAGCTGCATCACCCACGACGCAAAGCTTAGAATACCCTGATGCGAGCGATAATTCTTAGCCAGAGAGAATTGAACAGGCTTAGCAAGTGACGGCTGATTCAGTTCCTTGGCAATGACTTCGTAATACTCGTAGAACAAAGCCTTGATCTCAGGGAACCGGAACACCGAATCCTTTGAGATGCATTGGGCAGTGTCGCCAGCTAGATTATGTTATTCAATAAGGCTCGTGGATCAAATTTGGAGGATCTTACCAAGGTGAATCCCACGGGCGTCACTAAGGCAGCCCAAAAGCAAGACAATATCAAGACAACGCAAGTCTTGAATTTCTAAACACGCAGTTAGCACTTTACTCTCAGATATTTAAAGTGGGACCCACCATCAACGTAGATTTCCTCAAAACAGCGCTGTATCTGCGTTGCTAGGCCTCTGTTATCTCTCAGTGACTTCAGCATGGCACTAACACGGTCCAGCTCGTCGATCTCCTCGCGAAGCCTTTTTTGTTTTTCATAGCGCTCAAATGCTCCAAAAACTTTTTCACGCTCTACTTCAGATGTAAAGGCCGGAGAAGCTTTCGCATTCTTCTTCACATATTCCGCACGGCACAACGGCTTCAGGCTTTTTGCTGTGTTGCTAGAGCCCTTGATGACGCCCATGATCTCTGCGAAGAGGAGCTCTGGGGAGCATGATGGTGGAGCTAATCCACTTAATGAACCCCAATATTCTGTTTTAAAAATGCTGAAATCAATCACTCGTGGCATATCTCCCACTTGCGGGTCTAGAATCTTTGTCCTGCTGGGATTGATGTCTCTTAGGAAGTCTTTTCGATCAGCCATCCTACTTCAAGTTAGCAAGAAACATTGACAAGCTTGGAATTGGAGATATTCGAACCTGATTGTACTCTCCAGAAGCCCAAGAAATTCGTCGTAAGTGCAGACGACTGGAAAGTGCGAGTTCTTCAGGGCGAAGAACGAGATTGGTTTCAGATCTGAGTCTATATCCTCTTCGGTTGATGGAGACTTTGATTGAGCATCTATCAGACTTTTGGCATATGTTTGGAGCTTCGAGGCCAGATAGGAGGAACGAGTCAAGAGGAGCTGTTCATGTCAATTTTTCACCTGCCATAGTGAGAAGAAAGAGACATACCTGTCGAGCTTGCTGCCCATCCGAAGCTGATTGTCTTGCTTTATGCTTAGCGAGCATCTTGAACAACAGACAGGTGGTTTTTCCCGTGCCACTCCGTCCTAGAATAAGGCTTGAGGTGCTGAAATGTCTCACAATTTCTAGTTCTTCGGGGGAGAGATCAAATGGAAACTCCTCAGCGTCATTTTCATCAACGATGGACTTCAAAAACGGTTCAGTGAGATTGTAAAACTTGTCTTGAAAGTTATGGTTAGCTCCAATTCCCCAGGGGCTGGGATATGCTTTAATGGGATAAGCTCATACTTGACATCTCAACTAGAACTGGGCTTGCTTTGGAGGAAGCGATGGATCTCATTTGAGAAGACCCGGTCTCTCTCACGTTGTCGAATTGCCGTGGCGTCCAGGTTCCATCGTATTGCTGAACAGGACGTTCCAGACAGAGCTGAGCAAGCTCAACGGTGTAGGATTCCTGGATTAAAAGGATTTGTTCAATGGCAATTTCCAACTGTGAAACTAAATTAGCTAATTTCTCTCTTTGAGCAATTCCAAAACACACCTCCTCTTCCGATGTCACAATTTGCCAAACTGGCCAAGTTAGCATAGCTCCGCAAGTCTCGATAATATGGTATGAAGGTACCTACCTTTGACAATCTGCTGCTGCACCCATGGAAGCTCATCGTAAAAGCCGACATCGACCTGCCACAGGATTGACACAGTTGCAGAGGCACTCGCTTCCAAAATCGGAACCTGCATTCTTTTCTTCTGTTGCTTAGATCCCACACGATGAGAGAGATCTTTGCCTTTCCATTCGCCGCTTGCCAAATCTCTGAGCTTCTGTTCTACCTCGCCAAACTCGCCTATATACTGTTGGAAACAACCAAAATACATCGACTGGGGTGATTAGACTTACCTTCGCGGACTAGTTTCTTCAAATTCTTGAAAGCGATGTCAGATAGCAGGACTTTCCACAGACCGACTCGTTGTCCGAAAATGTCTAGGCCACCACCAGGTGCTATGGTTCGATCTGACGGTTGGTCTGTCGAGCTGGCCAGAGTGCCTGTAAGTCTTCCGGAAGTAAGTCTATCCAAACATATTCTGCATGGGAAACTCTCTAGGGCAGTGCGCATGAGTGCTGGTATTATCTCGGTTTTGAGATTCTCCGCTGCATGGGTGAGTCCTCGAGCAGACATAGGTGGTTGGATACTGAAGTGGCTCATCCGCTGAACGATGTCGCCAGAGACCTTGAATTCCTTTTTAGATTCTTTTTCGGGGTCTTGCTGAGATAGGGTTAATTTCTTCTCGTCCCGGTCCAGTACCCTCATTGATTCTAACGGAGGCAGATTCTCCACATGTGTTTGTTTCAATTCCTCTTCGTAAGACGTGTCAATGAGCGAGTTGATGGATTCCATCAGTTTTTGAGCAATATCCCAGCTCTCCTCAATGGCTTCCGTGCCATGATCAGCAGAACAGGCTTTGCACATGGTAATCAGCCTGTCTCCAACCTGCCTAGAGAGAACAAGGGGAAGATGGTTTCTTTTCGCCAATAGCCAATCCTTCAGAACCACTGTGTAATTTTCGTTGGCCACTAGGTGATCAAACAAGTCCTGTGATGAGAGGAGGGTTTTTGTGAGGTCCCGAAGAAATTGAGAAGGTTTTTTTGTGATGAGCGGTAGTGCAGATCCGATGAGTTGGGTCATTTGCGTTGGTGAAAAGACGTTCTCGTGAAGAAATGGAAGGACCATAGCCTTGAAGATCTCCTCAGCAACAGGACCGGGCAGCTGCTTGGCTCGCAAGATTTTAAAAGATGTCAGCAAGCGTGAGTGTGTCTGGTCCTGTTTGAGCACCAGCTGATCATGGATCGAGCCATCTTGCATGGCTTTCTCCAAGCGAGTGTAGTACTTTTCCACATTTGACAGAACATGATTGTATTCGTGCAGCCCGGGTTTCTCTTGAAGTAGGATTGAGGTCCACGGGGTCTTTGAAGACGCCATTTTCGTGTGACAAGACTCAATGCTTGCTTTTAACGGGTTGAGAAGCTGGTCGACACGGATGGAGATTGATAGGCGCGTTTGGCGCCTGACGAAAGACGTTTATTTTTGGAGTTTTTCTTGTTGGGTATTCTGGTAATCAGATCTAGGATGGGAAACAGTATGGTTGGACAAGATAGGCTAGGAGGAGACAGTGGGTTCGTTAATCGATAGTATGAAGTGACTGTGTGTCGATGTAGGAAGAGAGAGGTGGAAGAGAGAGGTGGAAGAGAGAGGTGGAAGAGGAGAGAGGACGGGCCACACAAATCCCAGACGTGTGCCTTCCAGAGATATCCCTCAGGCGTGAAGTCGCTCTTTCCCTAAATCGTTGTCCAAAACACAAACACAAACATCCACAGTCGAGAGATGCATGGCACGGCAAACAGATCTCATGTGACTTTGGCTGTTTGATATCTGAATGTGTTGACTTGAGATCCAAGGTTCTCGTAGACCTGTATAGGACTCTTTTGTGTGTCTATAAAAGCCGCCCAATTGGCCTGTATAGTAACCTACAGAATGGTTACCAAAAACTAACAAGCCAAGTGGCATGTGAAAGCACAATCCTTCTCAAGATATCAACCTTGGAAGCTGAGTTGAACTCAGAACGGGTATATCTCGAAATACAGATGCATCTTTATACCCATGCGATGTCTATGATTAACCAATCAGTATATCGCAGCTAGAGAAGCTCGGGGTGCATTGTCCAGATCAAGGATTTTTCTGTGCCGATAGGGTTTACTTGTTTATTACCGGCAGTGTATAGTCGGATAACTAGTTAAAGATATCAAGGGCATGTATGTTTAAAACATTCATACTCTATTATCCATGGCTAGCATCCACCATACAGGTCGATGATATTTCATGATCTTATTACTGCTTGGGTTATGTTATGACATCGCACGTCTTTTCTTACAGCCTTTCCCTCCTTTTTGCTCTCACACGGCTCACATCGACTCTGATCTTCGCAGCAAGCATGGGCTGCTGGCTTAGAAAGAGAATCTGGGTCATTGAGCCATTCTTGATACGCCAGGAGACTAAGCTAGAAGTGACCGCTTCGCAGTCCCGAGATTCAAGATTATGGGATGCTGCACAAGTTCTACGCAGCTCATAATCGTCATTTTGGAAGATTACATTTCCTCGCTGGCAAAAGTTTGGGCACACAAAATGATCGAGCGAGATATCCAAGTACGTGAGTCCATTTAACGAGAGACTTTCCTTTTAGATTCATCTTCCTAGCCTCTTTGTATGTCACCCAGTCTGGTTCATCACTTGGCGCCGAGTTGTCTACCGCAGAGGCTGCATTCGGTGGTGGTACCAAATCCTGGCATTTTACTCTGTGAATCCTATTAACGTAATTCCCAAGCGAGCTGGCCACCCAAGCGAGCTGGCCACCCAAGCGAGCTGGCCACCCCAACCAAAACACGTCCATGAATGAGATCTTAGTTAGTTCAACCACCCACCATGCCACCAATTCGTACTCAATCCTCTCAAAATTCAATAGAGCGGGACGGTAGGATCTTATTAGCTTTCCGGGCTTTTAAGAATCAAGAAGTCTCTTCAATTTGTGAAGTGGCGCGCCGTTTTAACGTCCCAAGATCCACCCTTTCTACCCGCCTGAATGGTATACAACACCGCGCGATTTCTCGCGCCAACTCTCATAAATTGACCGACACTGAAGAGGAATCTCTTCAGAAATGGATATTCTCTATGGACGCTCGTGGTTCAGCTCCACGACCTTCAATGGTGCAAGAAATGGCGAATGTTCTACTTTCGCATCGCGGAATCAACCCATCATCTACAGTCGGCAAGAATTGGGTCACTAATTACATTAAACGATATCCCAATCTATCCTCGAAATTCTCCAGACGTTACAATTACGAACGTGCTAAATTTGAAGATCCAAAAATCATTGGTGAATGGTTTACACTTGTTCAAAAAACGATTCTTCATACGGCACTGACAACGATGACATTTATAACTTCGATGAGACTGGTTTTGCAATGGGATTGACCGCAACTGCTAAAGTCATTACGAGATCTGAATACTACGGTCGGCGATCACTTTTACAACCTGGAAATC